TACGATACTACTTAGATGTGTATAATAATACTTAAATGTGTACAATAATACGACGGATGTGATAATACTTAGATGTGTATAATAATACTTAGATGTGTATAATAATACTTAGATGTGTATAATAATACTTAGATGTGTATAATAATACTTAGATGTGTATAATAATACTTAGATGTGTATAATAATACTTAGATGTGTATAATAATACTTAGATGTGTATAATAATACTTAGATGTGTATAATAATACTTAGATGTGTATAATAATACTTAGATGTGTATAATAATACTTAGATGTGTATAATAATACTTAGATGTGTATAATAATACTTAGATGTGTATAATAATACTTAGATGTGTATAATAATACTTAGATGTGTATAATAATACTTAGATGTGTATAATAATACTTAGATGTGTATAATAATACTTAGATGTGTATAATAATACTTAGATGTGTATAATAATACTTAGATGTGTATAATAATACTTAGATGTGTATAATAATACTTAGATGTGTATAATAATACTTAGATGTGTATAATAATACTTAGATGTGTATAATAATACTTAGATGTGTATAATAATACTTAGATGTGTATAATAATACTTAGATGTGTATAATAATACTTAGATGTGTATAATAATACTTAGATGTGTATAATAATACTTAGATGTGTATAATAATACTTAGATGTGTATAATAATACTTAGATGTGTATAATAATACTTAGATGTGTATAATAATACTTAGATGTGTATAATAATACTTAGATGTGTATAATAATACTTAGATGTGTACAATTGTGTACAATGATACTTAGATATGTATAATAATACCCAGATGTGTATAATAATACTTAGATATGTATAATAATACTTAGATGTGTACAATAATACTTAGATGTGTATAATAATACTTAGATGTGTATAATAATACTTAGATGTGTATAATAATACTTAGATGTGTATAATAATACTTAGATGTGTATAATAATACTTAGATGTGTATAATAATACTTAGATGTGTATAATAATACTTAGATGTGTATAATAATACTTAGATGTGTATAATAATACTTAGATGTGTATAATAATACTTAGATGTGTATAATAATACTTAGATGTGTATAATAATACTTAGATGTGTATAATAATACTTAGATGTGTATAATAATACTTAGATGTGTATAATAATACTTAGATGTGTATAATAATACTTAGATGTGTATAATAATACTTAGATGTGTATAATAATACTTAGATGTGTATAATAATACTTAGATGTGTATAATAATACTTAGATGTGTATAATAATACTTAGATGTGTATAATAATACTTAGATGTGTATAATAATACTTAGATGTGTATAATAATACTTAGATGTGTATAATAATACTTAGATGTGTATAATAATACTTAGATGTGTATAATAATACTTAGATGTGTATAATAATACTTAGATGTGTATAATAATACTTAGATGTGTATAATAATACTTAGATGTGTATAATAATACTTAGATGTGTATAATAATACTTAGATGTGTATAATAATACTTAGATGTGTATAATAATACTTAGATGTGTATAATAATACTTAGATGTGTATAATAATACTTAGATGTGTATAATAATACTTAGATGTGTATAATAATACTTAGATGTGTATAATAATACTTAGATGTGTATAATAATACTTAGATGTGTATAATAATACTTAGATGTGTATAATAATACTTAGATGTGTATAATAATACTTAGATGTGTATAATAATACTTAGATGTGTATAATAATACTTAGATGTGTATAATAATACTTAGATGTGTATAATAATACTTAGATGTGTATAATAATACTTAGATGTGTATAATAATACTTAGATGTGTATAATAATACTTAGATGTGTATAATAATACTTAGATGTGTATAATAATACTTAGATGTGTATAATAATACTTAGATGTGTATAATAATACTTAGATGTGTATAATAATACTTAGATGTGTATAATAATACTTAGATGTGTATAATAATACTTAGATGTGTATAATAATACTTAGATGTGTATAATAATACTTAGATGTGTATAATAATACTTAGATGTGTATAATAATACTTAGATGTGTATAATAATACTTAGATGTGTATAATAATACTTAGATGTGTATAATAATACTTAGATGTGTATAATAATACTTAGATGTGTATAATAATACTTAGATGTGTATAATAATACTTAGATGTGTATAATAATACTTAGATGTGTATAATAATACTTAGATGTGTATAATAATACTTAGATGTGTATAATAATACTTAGATGTGTATAATAATACTTAGATGTGTATAATAATACTTAGATGTGTATAATAATACTTAGATGTGTATAATAATACTTAGATGTGTATAATAATACTTAGATGTGTATAATAATACTTAGATGTGTATAATAATACTTAGATGTGTATAATAATACTTAGATGTGTATAATAATACTTAGATGTGTATAATAATACTTAGATGTGTATAATAATACTTAGATGTGTATAATAATACTTAGATGTGTATAATAATACTTAGATGTGTATAATAATACTTAGATGTGTATAATAATACTTAGATGTGTATAATAATACTTAGATGTGTATAATAATACTTAGATGTGTATAATAATACTTAGATGTGTATAATAATACTTAGATGTGTATAATAATACTTAGATGTGTATAATAATACTTAGATGTGTATAATAATACTTAGATGTGTATAATAATACTTAGATGTGTATAATAATACTTAGATGTGTATAATAATACTTAGATGTGTATAATAATACTTAGATGTGTATAATAATACTTAGATGTGTATAATAATACTTAGATGTGTATAATAATACTTAGATGTGTATAATAATACTTAGATGTGTATAATAATACTTAGATGTGTATAATAATACTTAGATGTGTATAATAATACTTAGATGTGTATAATAATACTTAGATGTGTATAATAATACTTAGATGTGTATAATAATACTTAGATGTGTATAATAATACTTAGATGTGTATAATAATACTTAGATGTGTATAATAATACTTAGATGTGTATAATAATACTTAGATGTGTATAATAATACTTAGATGTGTATAATAATACTTAGATGTGTATAATAATACTTAGATGTGTATAATAATACTTAGATGTGTATAATAATACTTAGATGTGTATAATAATACTTAGATGTGTATAATAATACTTAGATGTGTATAATAATACTTAGATGTGTATAATAATACTTAGATGTGTATAATAATACTTAGATGTGTATAATAATACTTAGATGTGTATAATAATACTTAGATGTGTATAATAATACTTAGATGTGTATAATAATACTTAGATGTGTATAATAATACTTAGATGTGTATAATAATACTTAGATGTGTATAATAATACTTAGATGTGTATAATAATACTTAGATGTGTATAATAATACTTAGATGTGTATAATAATACTTAGATGTGTATAATAATACTTAGATGTGTATAATAATACTTAGATGTGTATAATAATACTTAGATGTGTATAATAATACTTAGATGTGTATAATAATACTTAGATGTGTATAATAATACTTAGATGTGTATAATAATACTTAGATGTGTATAATAATACTTAGATGTGTATAATAATACTTAGATGTGTATAATAATACTTAGATGTGTATAATAATACTTAGATGTGTATAATAATACTTAGATGTGTATAATAATACTTAGATGTGTATAATAATACTTAGATGTGTATAATAATACTTAGATGTGTATAATAATACTTAGATGTGTATAATAATACTTAGATGTGTATAATAATACTTAGATGTGTATAATAATACTTAGATGTGTATAATAATACTTAGATGTGTATAATAATACTTAGATGTGTATAATAATACTTAGATGTGTATAATAATACTTAGATGTGTATAATAATACTTAGATGTGTATAATAATACTTAGATGTGTATAATAATACTTAGATGTGTATAATAATACTTAGATGTGTATAATAATACTTAGATGTGTATAATAATACTTAGATGTGTATAATAATACTTAGATGTGTATAATAATACTTAGATGTGTATAATAATACTTAGATGTGTATAATAATACTTAGATGTGTATAATAATACTTAGATGTGTATAATAATACTTAGATGTGTATAATAATACTTAGATGTGTATAATAATACTTAGATGTGTATAATAATACTTAGATGTGTATAATAATACTTAGATGTGTATAATAATACTTAGATGTGTATAATAATACTTAGATGTGTATAATAATACTTAGATGTGTATAATAATACTTAGATGTGTATAATAATACTTAGATGTGTATAATAATACTTAGATGTGTATAATAATACTTAGATGTGTACAATAATACTTAGATGTGTACAATAATACTTAGATGTGTACAATACTACTTAGATGTGCACAATACTACTTAGATGTGTACAATAATACTTAAATGTGTATACTTATACTTAGATGTGTATAATAATACTTAAATGTGTATAATAATACCCAGATGTGTATAATAATACTTAGATGTTTACAATTGTGTACAATGATACTTAGATGTGTATAATGATACTTAGATGTGTATAATAAACTAACCAGGCTTCTCACAAAGTCGGAGTAAATAGCGAAGGGAAGACAACTGCCACACTGCATGTACTTCCCGTACATAAATAGTGTGGTGTACAAGTGCCTACACGACCATCCTAATATATACTGAGTATCGTACCTTATAACACACACACACACACACACACGCCGGTTAAAGTATTATCCTTTTTGACAATTAGGTCGTTTGGCTACAGGCTATACTAGCTCCCTGTTGTACAGCGAGAGAAAAAGCATGTCGAAAGTCGTTCACCGTAATAATCACAGGTCAGTGTCTCTATCTCCAGTATATTTACTCACCGTATCACCGAACACAATGTGAGCTTCCTTACACACAAGCTGGTGCACGCGCTATGATGTCACTGTACGCCTGCCCCCTTCTTCTGTCCCCTGTACGTTATGCACCGATATAGCTATGTATCCGTGTTTGGTTTCCTCCCAAATGATTTCCCGTCGACGGTGTATATAAATACCTGTTGACACACATACAGCCTATAACCCACTGATGCATGGCCTACATATCAACTTCGTAGTTCAGGTCATCAAGGTATTAAATGAGAGAAGAAAAAAAGAATGCATAACTTGACATTTTAATTACCTCATGAATTAACACTAACCCGTAACATAAGGTATTATATTTAAGTACTTTGTGAGTGATAAGTTATGTGCAAAATGAAGTTAAAACCCGAGTTTATAACTGTTCCCTGTATGTTTAAATAAAGGCGACGTCTCTTGGGAATAATAGTTATACAAATATACGTGTACAACAGGCTGATTGTATTACAGTACACAGTGTAGACGGTACGTGTGTAAAGGGTGGCTGATTGTATTACAGTACACAGTGTAGACGGTACGTGTGTAAAGGGTGGCTGATTGTATTACAGTACACAGTGTAGACGGTACGTGTGTAAAGGGTGGCTGATTGTATTACAGTACACAGTGTAGACGGTACGTGTGTAAAGGGTGGCTGATTGTATTACAGTACACAGTGTAGACGGTACGTGTGTAAAGGGTGGCTGATTGTATTACAGTACACAGTGTAGACGGTACGTGTGTAAAGGGTGGCTGATTGTATTACAGTACACAGTGTAGACGGTACGTGTGTAAAGGGTGGCTGATTGTATTACAGTACACAGTGTAGACGGTACGTGTGTAAAGGGTGGCTGATTGTATTACAGTACACAGTGTAGACGGTACGTGTGTAAAGGGTGGCTGATTGTATTACAGTACACAGTGTAGACGGTACGTGTGTAAAGGGTGGCTGATTGTATTACAGTACACAGTGTAGACGGTACGTGTGTAAAGGGTGGCTGATTGTATTACAGTACACAGTGTAGACGGTACGTGTGTAAAGGGTGGCTGATTGTATTACAGTACACAGTGTAGACGGTACATGTGTAAAGGGTGGCTGATTGTATTACAGTACACAGTGTAGACGGTACATGTGTAAAGGGTGGCTGATTGTATTACAGTATATTGGATCGGGCAGGAACGGGCGACGGTTTACAGGAACGGACAGAAACGGGTGACGAATTACAGGAACGGACAGAAACAGGGCAGTATCGGACTTATTTATACATTTATTGTATATATTTAATTATCATTATCGGGTATAAGGTATATTTGATAAAAAAAAAATGCAATTACATGATCGGGGCAGAATCGGACTAAATTATATATATATATGTATTTATATTTTTTTATCGGGTATAAGTTATATATTTTAGATATGTTTAAGTATCATTATCGGGTTTAATATACATTTGATAAAAGGATTGCAATTACATGATCGGGGCAGAATCGGACTAAATTATATATATACATTTATGTCGATATTACTTATGATACCTACATTTATAGTATCATATGTTTTTTATCGGGTATAAAATATGTTTGATAAAAGAATTGCAATTACAGGAACGGGGCAGGATCGGACTAAACTATATATATATATATATATATAAATTGCCAGGCCGAGGTTTCAATATATGTCTCTGTTTTATTCTATCAAAAAAGGTTGTTCAAGGAATTATATATTACATATATAATAAATATGTATCTGGGTTATTTTCTCATTTATATATATGACATTGTTATTGGGATGTCATAACACATGAAACATTGGAAATGACATTATGATAACCAAATTTTAATAACTTCATAACTTATACTCAACTCTTAATAAATAGCATGAATATATTTTGAGTGAATGAATTGGTGTTAATGTGTAGATTACCATCCCATCACGACTACGATCAGAAAAAAATATTAATTAAGATTATATTAATCCTTTGTTCTTGTACTTATTATGTGCAGACGATGTGAACGGTTAACAGTTCAATCAAAGGCAACTTCTAAGTATCTTTCAAAGAAAATACGCAATTTTCCAACTCAAAAAAGTGACATCAGTCTGAAAATTAAATATTATTCTATATGTAAATATAAGTTAATTGAAATACGTGTTTTACGTAAATAAATATTGAAGTCCATATGTTGGATTGTTTGACCACATAGGCCTTATCTGTTATAGAAAAACAATACTGTATATTAATCATATATGTATATGTATCGTAGAAAGAAAAACGGTGAAACGCTTTAAGTTTCAATTTTCAAAGGCCGATGTTGTCAAAACCGATTATCTAATTCCGTAATAGTAGACAACAGACTTCTTGTTCTAACACAAACGTACATTGATGACTCTGTCAACAAAGAGGTATGGCGGAAAACTGCCCATATTTCCCTAAGGCGGCATTTATGAAACGGGAAAACAAATTAGGGAATAAAACATTTCGTGTATCAAAAATGCATACAAAAGATATAGAACCAATTGAATATGAATTTTTAACCTGCTGAGAAATTATGTATTGCTAATATGATACTGCAAATATAGCCATTTACACTATATCTATGAAAGTGATGGGGTTTCCCGGACTAAAAAAAATACTTTCAACACTTTCCCATCTGAGGACCAACTTTTGAATAAACTTTTTGTGACCGTGATGTAATATGCAAAAACAAATCGTATTACGGAAAAGTGGTCCTCCTTTGGGAAAGTGCTCAAATAATGAAAAACAGGGCTGATCAAGTTTCTCTAAACTGCGACAGGTGTTTCTAGAGTTAAATCAGTTTGTTATTGCCAATATCTATATGTTCTATGTAGCCGAATGTGTAACGCAGTTTACTTGTGAATAAAAAATAAACGGTGCAGGTTCGAATCCTCCGTCAGGTTTTTTTTCTTTTTCTTTTTTAAATATTTAGGCATGTGATCATTTTCCTTGATAAAGCAATATTTTGTTTTTCAAATCGATGGAAAATTTTGTTTACATTTTAATAACATACCTATTGATTTATCAGTTTTGTTAGTAATAATTTCGTTACTATTTAGTGCGACATGCGGATTATCGCCCGAGACCGGATACTTTTCAGAACTCATTCTGAATGTTACCGATTTACCGAACATGAAACTTAAATCCGTTCAAAACTGTTTCGTATAGATTGCACGATCTTGTATTACATAAAAGCGTATAATTTGTTATAAATCAATATAAAAAACGTGAAATAAGCATTGTGTTGAGCCTGTATCGTTAAACGCATGTATTAATACCCATGGCCTTAAATTCGTCTGTTTACAATAATCTATTCTTAGACACAGGATTTCGATATAGCTACGTATACCTGTATAAGAATACCTGATGACGCGTCATAACAGTGCACGGTTGGATGCGCGCACTAGCGTAACATAACTTTGGGGAAATAGGCATAGCAACCCGCNTTTTTTTAGCCATCAATCCCCTTGCGACACAAGCCAATCATCGTTCCAGGTAAGTACCCCACCTTATCAGTGACCCCGCCCTCCTGTGGACACATAAGCTAAATGGTTAATTTGTTCAGGGACGTATAATCCCTGATTTGTTGGCTTATGAATATTGGCGTGGCGTGCCGAGTTGACAATTTAGATTGGTTAATTACACATATATGATTATCTTGCCTGATGAAGCTGAGAAAATGAATTCACCAGCTAAACTCATAATTGTAAAACGTCAAGAACAGATTATTCAATGGTACCTCACCGGACAGCAACGCAGACGTTTTTCCACAATAAAACGTTTCAAATTTGTATTCTCTGGTCTTATATGAACGTGCATCAAAATAGAACACATTTCCTTTGAACATTTCCTATGTGTCTGGTAAGCTCTGTCTCGTCAGAGACTTCTCGTGTGCCAATCAACTTCGCTTTCAATATCAGGCGGGACTTGGTCCGTACAAGTGGTTGGGAATCGTTGAGATTCTTTTTTCGTTCAACATATTTCATTTTAATTAAAACATATTTTATTGCTTCTAAATTCAAACAAGAGGATTGGGCACAAGTTATTACAACTTATTAAAGCCCTCTCCTCAACAATTGTACTACAACAATGTGATAGCGACAATAGACATATATGTACATTTTATACCATATAGTACAAGGTAGTGGTCACAAATTGTTAAAACTTTTCAAAACCTTCTCCCGTAAAAGTAAAACGTTGCTCATCGCAGTCAGTTGCACAATTTTTAGTATCTTTATCACTAAACCAATTTATTAAATTAACTTCTGAGAAAAAGCTGTTATAACATTGTAATCCACCTAAATAAACAATACCTGGGACTTACATACATGTTGATATAATGTTTTATAATTAAAATTAGATATTGTACACGGAATTGGATAAAGTCCGTGGTTATGCATTCATATAACTTGATGTTTTTCAAGACTTAAATTTGATTAAATAAATTCGACGAGTATTTAGTATGAGTAGATTTACTTTTCACAAGCATGTATCTTTAGAATATATTGGAACAAATCTATATTTATACATACTATATGCATGTATATCGATAATTGAAAGGACTTCGAATCATATACAATCCATATACTTTTTGAATTTCATAGTATTTGAGTATCTAATTTAACTGAAGGTTCTTCTCCAGCATTGTTATATAATTGATACTGTTATGTTTAACAAAATTGAATAACTAACATTTTTGAAAAGTAATTTCAAATTTTCTAAATATTTCCTGTTAAATTTATACATATGATCTTAATAACACCATTTTATGACATGAATAGAATTAATATAGTGAGACTGATTATTATATTTCTAACTGCTTGAGTCGCATGTATATGTTTATATGATTAAACGAATACGTTTTAGGAAAGAGATGGTTAATTTTATGATTTTACATTTCATTTAATATAGATTATGAGATACTCTACCGGTGTATGATTGCATGCAACTCAACTCTAATAATTTAATAGTGAATGGCTCATTTTATAGTGTCGATAATATGTTTCAAGGTGTGTTTATTTTATTGTTGATCAATGTAATGAATTGATACGGAAATAGATAAATATCAGTCTCCCCATTATGTCTGTACTGATTAACCACAAAGTTAAAAGAAAGAGAGAATGAAGGAATGAGTCCGATCCTGCCCCGATCCATATCAATAAGCAATACTCTTAATTCCTTGCAATTCTTTTATCAAATATATCTTATACCCGACAAAAAATATATGATACTATAAATGTAGGTATCATAAGTAATATCGACATAAATGTATATATATAATTTAGTCCGATTCTGCCCCGATCATGTAATTGCAATCCTTTTATCAACTATATCTTATACGCGATCATGATACTTTAATGAATCTAATATATATATTCATTAATGTATATAATAATTAATAGATTTCTGCAAGTTCCTGCCCGTTTCTGTCCGTTTCTGCCCGTTCCTGTAAATCGTCTAACCGGTAATGACCACCTTCATTTATTTGAAGATCATGATCAAGTCATGTGATAGTGGGTGCTAGGCCAAGAGAAGAATGCTAAAATTTCATCTGAAAGAACAGCTCAAAAGATGCCATTTCCTTAGGGTGTACAGTACATAAATACATTTGTTTTAATCTCCCTGATGGACATTTTAAAAAGTTGGCAAGTATGACAAGCTGGTGTTAAACTGTTTATGTGTGTAATCTTACCTATAGCAATATGATCATATATATATATATGAACCCCCTATATATATGTGTGTACCCTAAACTACAGACTGTAGTGCAGGCCTAACGTACAATCATGGCAGTCAATGAGTCATTCAAAATGTAAAAATCATATATAACAAAAGGCGGACATTGATAACGTTAACAGTCATCTCCGACATCTGTAAACGTTGCTGTACTGTGCGATTACATCCAATAAAAAACAAGGGAGTAGGCCCTAAATATTTGTTCCTAAATGTACTGTTTACAGTGAAGAAATAAAAAGTCTAAAACATTAGTCATATAAATTATATTTAATTATTCCTTTAATGCATTCATCCAAGTTCTGCAAATGAAGTGAATAGCAGCTTACATAAAGACATAACAATTTACATAGACATTTATCCCTCCCTTTTGTCCTCTTTTTAAGGACAAATCATTAATTCTGTGTTGATAACAAATCATCAGTACATTATTACCCTATGCCCCATTCCCAAAATTATATAGTATTACCCTTCCTCCATTCTTCAATATCTAAGAGTGACAAGATCTGATGTGCAGCAGGCCTAGTTTACAAGTTTCTTCCATCTGCGACAGGGACTTGCGAACTTACAACGTTTCACGGTATGCCAGAGGTTTGCATCCTGTTCTGCAAATCACTGCTTGCGTGGAGATAGCAAATCTAAAAGCCTGATCTTTAAGACCAAAATTGTGTCGCAGTCTCATCAATGTTAACAACAGTTTATCCTCGCACTCCATGTTAACTATGTCTTTCCTGTTATTATGGTGTTGTGGGGCCTGAATAGTGAGAAAGTCAAGTAGGGCCTGGAATGTTGAGAATTTGAATCCTGTATAATATTCAAATAATCCTTGAATCTGTGATTCCTCCTTTAAAATCTCCTGAACAGTCAGTGGTTTGGGTTTGTCATCACTTACAGGATTTCCCAATGTAGCTTCATGTTGTTCATACCACACTCTGTATTCATTGAATAAGACTTCAGACTGATGAACTTGTTGTTGTAGCCTCTTGATTTCAGCTGCTGCTGATAGCAGTTCCAAAGATGTTCCTGAAAAAAAGTTCTATAAATAAATCAAATTCAGCTGATTTTATTTTATTTTCAGTCTCAGAAGAATGACATTGCTTTTAACAATGGCAATGTCATGTCTTGCTGAGAAATGATTTATACCCAACCAGTAAAAGTTAGGTTGCCACCTTGTTACCAAGATTTGGTGGAAATGTCAAAGGTTGCAATGTTGGAAAAGGCAACACGGTCCCAAAGTACCAACAGCCTATGGAAGAGACTCAGAGAGAAAAGACTTACAGCATCTCAGATGTTCAAAGTTGTAAATAGAAAGAAAGGTCCTACTGATGCTATGCTAAGAGATTTGTTTACAATAAAGACATTCTCTTCTGTAGCAACAGATTATGGTATTAGTAGGGAAAAAATTGCCAGAGAAAAATATGTCAGTCAAAAGTCTGTCCAAAACATACATGTTCATGATTGTGGGTTAGTGATAAACAATGAATTTCCCCATCTAGCCGCCACACCTGATGGTAAAGTATGTGACAAAGGGGAGACTGGTATTGTGGAAATAAAATGTCCCTTTGTAGCAAGGCAGATGAGTATTACTGAAGCTTGCAATGTAATCCAGAATTTTGTACTGAGTTATGAAAACAATGTTGTCAAAATGAACAGAAAACACAACTACTATGTTCAAATACAGGGACAACTGCTAGTCACAGGTGCTCCATGGTGTGACCTTGTTGTGTTCACAACAAAAGAACTGTTTGTTGAGAGAATTTATCCTGATATTCCATTTATGACCAAAATATTACTTCAGCTGTCACTTTTCTACAAGTTTCATGCTTTACCATACCTCAACAGATAAGGTATACCATATAGCTTTACCTAAATCACACCAACTGAGCAAACCCAATAATAATGTACACACATACTTTGATATTGCCACAATTTCACATTAGAACTTGATGCCTTTAAAATATATTGGTTTGCAATTCCTAGTCTCTAAAAATTGTATTAATTGATATTAGTTATACACGTATATAGTGACACCTGTCTAACCTGACATCCACTGGGATATAACATACTGGTAAGATTACAGAAAAACAGTCTGTCAATAGTTAAATACACAGGTCATATACTATTATGTTCATAACACATGGGATTACAGCATTATGTGTAAAGTGTCTGAATAATCAGGGGTTCACTGTATTTTGTTCCAGTTAAAACTGGTATTAAATATTTAATGAAAACCAATACAATTGAAATTGTACACAACAATACCATAAGTGTTCTAGGACTATAAACATATGAAGATTACATGTCAAATGAGTTTGATGTATAGTGCATAGTTCAGTTTCTGGTTTTTTAGATAAAATGATATTTTGGTATCTTTTCGTTTTCAAAATTTATCTCAGCTTTATACTAAAGCATATCTATACCTTGGACATCAGTTTGTACAAGATCATGTTCATGCTGTGTTGCTGCTACATGGCCAGTACTGTCTGTACTGGGACTGAAGTGGGCTGGGGATCCTCCATATCATTGCTCAGTTCAGTGCTGTGTCTTGATAATAAAGAAATGAAGATTTATTTTATTATGGGTTTTCAAGACTGAACAATTTAGGTGAAACCATAATTATTTACAATATAATCTCAATGTATTCCTCTTTTGATATCACAACGTTAAGACATGGTGGAGAATGGGTTGAAAAAACCCCAACAAAGAATCATTGGTTAGAAACTAGAAAGGGATACATCTTTCAATAAAATCAATCACTTACAGTATAACTTCATGCCCTGGATTAATTTATATAAAAAATCTTACTTTAGAATGTCTATTTCAATTTGTATGTATGCATACTTTACATTTTGGGAATAACAATTTGTTTATCAAAATGTTTAAACACCAAGGTATAAGGAAATTAATTGATTATAGCTTATCTGATTCACTGCAACATATTTCCTGTCAGGACAATACTTTCCACTTGGAAAATCTATAGCACTGATCATAATTACAAATGTACAAATGTACTGATACATAAAATACTATTATGGTCACAATTTGAAATGTTCATTATAAGAGCAGATTCCTTAGCAGTTTTCTTGGTCAAATTAACTCACCCAACAGAATGCCGGAGTCTCCAATGAAGGCGGCACTTTTTATTTCTCCTCAATTAGCTGGCAAAGGATCGGGGTATTCTTCTGATGGTCCCAACTCACTCATAAAATGCTGAAACAAACCAGAAGTATATATATGACTTGTAAAATCAGAACTCGCGCTCTGATTGGCTGAATTTGTATAGCAAGCGCGCTGCTAACAACGATGTGAAAGGGTGAATTAATCCACATCTTTTACACTATTCCCCCCTTTTTTCAAACACCGACCCAGGTTCTTTGACTCCCCGCCAAGGGTTCTCCTACCTTGAACGTGGGAGGGTCAAAGGCACCGATACAGATAGTGCTGTCGCTGGGGCTCGAACCCGCGATCCTTGGCTCTCCAGCCCGATGCTCTACCGCTGAACTAAAGGGAAATTACCCAATTAATCCACATCTTTTACAAACTAACGTTCAAATATAATCCTCATTCCAATCATTTACCAAGGAAAAACAATCAACAAACTAAGTGTATATCGACGATCGAATTAAACTTTGCATGTAGTTAGATAAGGGTACGTATATTGTATTAATCATAAGCATTCCTAGGCAAGTCAAGTTATATAGATATAAGAAAATTGTTGTTTTTTGGAAGGTTGTGTTATTTAGATAAAAATACATTGTCATCACGTATATTTTTAAGAAGACTATACGCATCAATGCTGAACAGATCTGGTGACCATTTTGGACTTTTAAATGATATTTTGAGAATTTTTTAAAAGTACAATCTTTATAATATGTTGAACAAGTATATTCGAACGAGTGTATTCCCATTAAAACGGCCATGGAAAATAATTGTGAATAAATCTGTGTTGTTGAAAGAGGAACCTGATTGGAAAGAACGAATGTCAAATGATAGTGATTTTAACCGATTTGTAATGGTTCACAATATATTGCAACCACATATACTATGGAAACTGGCAATGAAATTCCCGGAGTTTAAAGATTCTATTTTATATGTTACGAAATTAATAGTAAATATTCGTACTGGTAAAGCCAAAGAGCTATGTCATAGATGTGGTATTATTTACCAAGATATATTAACTCATATCATATTAAAGTGTAGCTATACTGAACACCTAAAGGACAAGTTGTGGTGCTCTATCGCAAACATTAGTGATACTGGTATTCTGCTGAGTGCGTACATACACTCTCTGACAGATCACGAATTAATTCATATTTTAATTGGGGGACAAATGACTTACGAATTAAATGTATTAGACATGAATGAATTTAGATTGAAATCAGTAGCAGCTGTCGAAAAGATGCACAAGTTATACTACCGGTAGTGTGTAGATATAATCTCACATCCTGATAAAGATTAATATAAATAAAATAAATATAAAAAATAATATGAATGTTTAATATGATATGTATGTATTACCTCATCATATATACACTTATTAATGATATTTATTGAATGTATGACTTCAATGTAATTGAGTCTGTATATGTCATGTATGTTATTTGGTGCTTATGTGTATTCAATATGATTTTTTTTTTGTAATGTAAATATGTGCGCATTATTCTGTTTAAATGTAATCTTCAGATTGGAGGAAATAAAGAGAATAATAATAAAGTCAAATACATTTTATTTAAATGTCGGTATATGGTTAAACAATACAACACAAGCCTATGGAAGGCTTTTACAACCGACTATATAACAAATAAAAACGGAGGTAGCATTATATTAAACATAACAAGCATGCAAATCTATGACCCTGTTAAAAACACACACATTGTTAAACCAGGGATAGTATATATCATTATACGTCCCTGGTTAAACATATAAAAGATGGGTAGCGTGATTCCAAACAGAAAATTTCAGGATAATAACTTTTGGCACATACATTCGCAAACAGTCAAAACAAGCTAGGTGGCTACAGTGCCCCATCCTTGATGATCATGGTTAATTATAAATTCCTAGATAACTTAAAACATTCTGGAAAAACACACTTATCACACAATGCCTTCAACAAATTACATAATTACAGNATATATACAAACATATATAAATAGCACAGATTGCATAGAAAACATACAAACCAGATTTGAATTGAAATTACAAGAAATAAAACGATGTATTATAAGCAGCACATACAATTTACACAAAATAAAAGCAAAGCAACAAAAATAGCGCATACAAATTATAAAATACCGGCACAGTTTACAAACATAATGACTAACTAAAAGCATTGAAGCAGAATGGAGAAAAAACAACCACATGGTCCGATATGCTTTTTTTATATATATAAATTAAAGCATATATGTATATTAATTAAGTCTGCCATCTTGTACTATTGTAAATATATGCTTGTAATTTGCTGGGAAAGGCCTTAATATAAGTTTGATAACGTGTGCCCAATCCATTTGCTTGGCAATAAAATATGTTTAAACTAAAAAAAATGGATAAAACAGCAAAGGCAGCGAAGGGAGGGAACTCGTCGGCACATCACACAGTGGCAACTTTCACCATTCCAGAGACGTATATATAAAGCTGTGTTATATACGTCTCTGACCATTCCAAGTTTTTGTTATTTTCCTAAAATCATTAAAAGAAGTAGATAGTCTGACATGCTTTGGCAGGGAGTTCCATGTAGAGGCAGCTAAAAAACTAAAACTATTTGTCCCATACTTCACTGTTTTGCTTCTAGGGACTTCTAAAATTTTACTGAAATTATAAGATGATGTTTTTACATGAATAAAATCCTGTAAATAACAGGGGTTTTGTACATTTAAAATGTTAAAGGTTTCTATAGCTACTTGTCTGAGTTTACTTAATTGTTATGTACAAGTGTTACCCTTTTCTAGGCGCGCGAAAACCTCTCTGGACGCTCATTCCTTCCATTATCTGCGATAAGTACGTACTTTCTGACGACGAGACATGTGTATTGCCAGGCAGAGGAGGCCGGTTATTAATATAAGTACTATATATCCTTCCATGGGCACTCATGATAGGACAATTCTGTATTTTTGTTGTGTGCCACCATACCGCAAGTAAACTAAGTAATCTCCCTTGTATTGTTGTTGTTTGACTCCAACTCCCGCCAACGTACACGTGTGCTGAACGGAAGATCAGCTGTCTTGTCATCGGACGCTTCTCGTTGTTAAGCTGCTTTCGTGCACGTGAATCACACAGACAGGCAATGGCGGACAACAAGGAGGAACGTTTGGTTTGGGTTGATTTAGAGGTAGGTAATAAACAGAGGCAGAGACGCTTTAGCCCCTTGAGTCGAGGCTTGACAGCAGGTAGGTTACAAACTGACAATTGTAAAGGCCTGAAGGGGGACGATCGACACTGCTGTACATTTAATGGTTAATGTAATATAATATTACCATTCCTTTTATTCTTAGACATATTCAATCAGGTTGTTGGTTATATTTATTGACTGACTCTACATATACATATTGTGTTATTCCCACAGATGTCTGGACTGGACATAAAGAAGGATCATATTTTAGAAATGGCATGTCTGGTAACCAGTGGAAACCTGGACATAGTGGCAGAGGTTGGTACCCCAGCTGGCTTTTTAACATTACATTGGAAACCTAATGATAAAAATGTAGGAAAAACCTTTATAAGTTTTATATAAAAACTTATTATTATGAAGGTCTACACTAAACTAGATATATGCTTCAGTTTTAAATGAGCAGGTATTGAAATCAAAGTTCCAGTTTTCCTGGTTAGCTCACCGGGTCCGAAGGACCAAGGTGAGCTTATGTTATACTGTGCCGTCCATCGTCCGTCCGTTGTCCGTCCGTCAACGATTTCTTTAAACGACTTCTTCTTCTTAACCACTGAGCGGAATTTAACTAAATTAAACAGGAAGCATCCCTAGGTGGTGGGGATTAAAAATTGTACAAATTGTTGGGCTGACCCCCCATGGGGCTGAGGGTTGGGGCTAAAAGGGGGTAATTTGGCTATATGGCTACGAACGACTTTTTCTGTAGAGCTTTGAACAGCATGCATATCAATCATATTTAATCAAAAGCATTCATGGGAGGCAGGGATTCAAAATTGTACAAATTGTTGGGCTGACCCCCCATGGGGCTGAGGGTTGGGGCTAAAAGGGGGTAATTTGGCTATATTGCTACAAACGACTTTTTCTGTAGAGCTTTGAACAGCATGGATATCAATCATATTTAATCAAAAGCATTCATGGGAGGCAGGGATTCAAAATTGTGTACAAATGGTGTGGCTGACCCCCCAGGGGGCTGAGGGGCGGAGCCAAAAAAGGGTTATTTTGCTATATTTTTTTAAGCGACTTCTCTGGAACTAAGAGATGGATATCAACCATATTTAACTGAAAGCATCCCTAGGTGGTGGGGATTCAAAATTGCACAAATGGTGGGGCTGAACCCCCAGGGGGCTGAGGGCGGGGTCAAAGGGGGGCAATTTGGCTATATTGCTATAAACGACTTCTTCTGTAGAACTATGCCATGGATATCGATCATATTTGGCCGGAAGCATTCATGGGAGGCAGGGATTCAAAATTGTACAAATTGTGGGGCTGACTCCCGGAGCTAAGGGATTATTACTTGGAAATGGTTGAGATCCCCACCCCATAACCATACATAAAATTGCTTGGGATGAAAAATCTAATACAGATATTCTACAAGGATTGGCCTTGGGGTCAGGCATATTCCCTTGGATCTCATTTGGAGAATATTTTCCCCCGATTGATTAGATATCCAGGTGAGCAATACAGTTTTATTTTTCATTCAAATGGGACTCATTCTTATACCAAATGATTTGTAGAGTTTTAAACATGTTGAACACTTGTGACCTTGAGCAGGTTGGGCACAACGGCGCATATAGGTAATAATCCTGCATTTGGGTAACAGTTACCCATTTGAGTAACAATTTTATTACTGAAATGGGGAATAAAATGAAAGAAAAACACACAAAGTTCTTTTAAACATTTTGAGCAAAAAAAAGCATTTTTCATCATCATCATCATCATCATCATCATCATCCTTCATCATTTTTTTTAATGACAATTTTAAAGCTTTAACTATTGATGCCAATAGTAGCTATGGATAAAAACTGGTTAAAAACGAGGTTATTGGTCTCAGTGGTGCCTCCCTGTGAGGTCCTCTGGTCGTAATGAGGACAGGAAGCTCTCCACTGTAGCTGGGGCCTTAATCTCACTGAAGATTTTGTTCCAGGTAGTGATGGTACGAGGGAGGAGGGAGTTTTGGTAGATGTCTGTCTTGACCTGTATTTGCCTTCAGCTGCTGCTAGTGGCTCCACAGGTCCTTGCATAGGTCTACCTGACAGATCTTTTGGCTAAACTCGACTCCCACAACATTATTGATGATTTTGTACAATAATGTTGCCCTAGCCCTAGCTCTCCTGACAGCTAACGGTTCCCATCCGAGAACATTTCTTTCAACTAAATTCAATAAATAACACAATGAAGTACATTTGTGCACAAAAAATTATCAATTCTTGTGTCTAACTTTTTGTGAAAATGACAAACCATATCACTGACTTTGTTCTCCATTGACTTCAATGTGTAGGCAATGGGACCATTCAGTGCATGCAAACGTGACGGGTAAGCATGATTTTTTTCTGTGTGCTATTATGATTATGTTGAAAGAATGATGCCCTTTTATGTTTTAATGTACAAAATATAATACATGTAAAAGAACTTTCACTTTATTCCCCATTTCAGTAATAAAATTGTTACTCAAATGGGTAACTGTTCCCCAAATGAAGGAGTATTACCCATATGCGCCATATTCCTTGAATTTCAAAATAAGATTAATTGCAAGTTAGGAAAGCGTAATACCATGTATACTTTTTTATTTCTGAAATGACTATAGTTTTGATAAATCTTTTCTGTAAAGACAAACCATAGCGTGCGGGACTTTTATGAAATAAACAACATGTAATCAACAACAGTGTTCTAAGTGTGAAGATTCAGCGGGGTGTAGATCAGATTTGAACAATGATATTTGTTATACTGTTGTTGCTCTAACCTACTGAGCTACCCAATCACCAGAAGTATCTTGGCCCGACTGTGGTGCAGTTATATTTATCACAGGGACCTGGGAATTTGTTACAGCTGTATTAGGACCTAAACTAAGCTGTTCAGAGTAACTTTACTTGTTTAAGGGGTTTAGATCGACTTTTGGTAAAAATGTGATATATATTTGAGAAGGGAGGAGAGCTCTCAATGTCAAAAATTAGACCCAACTTAACTGTCTTGCATTAAAAACCAAATTTCTAGTTGATGTACGAAAAAATTATTAGTAATGTTGGAAAGATGGATAACTTTTCTTTAACAAACGAGGTGATGAAAGGCATATCAAGATAGACAGATTAATGATGGTGATGAAAGGCATATCAAGATAGACAGATTAATGATAATATTATAATAGTGTTTTATGTTTACAGGGACCGAATCTGATCATTAACCAGCCTGACAGTGTGTTGGAAAGCATGGGTGATTGGTGTAAACAGCACCATGGACAGGTATACAGGTGAACTGTTAATGTCGGCAATCCCACCACCTACATGTACCAACAAACTAGAAAATAAAATAAACAAAATTGTGTCGTGACACAACACAAAGATGTTTGCACCTGGAATGTGAAGCATGATACTGTTGTGAAGATATACGTTTTTCTCAAATGGAAAATTTCTGATATTTTGTTGGTAAAAATGACATTTTAAATCTTTTTAAAAAGTCAACTCATTAGAAATACACATCTATTATGTTAAAGGCATCAATAAGACTCGATCATCAGTTCTCCATAGTTTTGAAATTTTAAAATATTTTATCAATGTTGCAGTTGTTAAGTATATATATACAAAAATGAATTGTATGCTCGTTTATAGCACAGCCAGTGAGATAATAATTGGTATCTTAGCACAGAGATGGGACACTCAGCATTTATAGTGTCGAATAGTCAAATTGATACGCTTTATTACAGCATATTGAGTAACAATAAGCTCGTGTATGTTGTAAGATAAATCATCAACCAAACAGTTAGATGTGTGAAATAACCATTTTTAAATATCAATACTCTTTATTGATATGAACTATCAAAACCACATGCACACTCTTTCATGGCGACATGATGGTAATGAACCTTATTATTGCGGCTCCTTTTACGCTAATATTATATTATTCTGCGGATTGTATTTCTGCAATTAATGTATTGACCAGCCAAATTGCAAAACAACAACCCCAGCTGTGGCTTGTTAACACGGAATGCAGCAACGTGTGAGAAAAGAAGTAACGTTGGATATGATTCAAGGTTACAGGGGTCATACTAGTTTAAAAACCCAAATGTTTTTGTCTAAATAGCCAAAAAGTCTAAGAGTCATGATACTCTGTTGGCCTGTATACATAACTTGCCTGAAGGATGAACTGCAAAGTTTGTGAAAGGAAGTAATCTTTACATGTTGTTAAGGTCATAAGGGTATACTCAAATGACTTCCTCTGAGGAAATTTAGAACAAACTCATCGGATAATGATATTTGGCTTGTAGCTTATTGGCATTAAGTGCAACAGAGTTCACAAAGAAAGACCACATTAATCTTGTTAGTATCTTCAGCCCCTTTGGGACTCTTGTTTTGATAAAAATTGGAACCTTCAGCCCCTTTGGGCCTCTTGTTTTGATAAAAAAAACTTCAGCCCCTTTGGGCCTCTTGTTTAGATAAAAATGTTTTACACAGCAACATTTTCTACACCTAAAAAGACTTCATTGTCAACTCTAAAAATAACAGTACCTTTATGTATATGGTATGTTCAACAACAATGAACAGATATGAGAGCTAACAGGCTTATTTTGTCCTTACTATACTTACAGTCTGGTCTGACGGAAGCTGTGAGGAAGAGCAACGTATCGTTAGAGTCAGCAGAACAACAGATGTTACAATTTGTACAGCAATACACTGTTTCAAAGTCAGCCATACTATCAGGCAACTCCGTACACGCAGACAAAGTCTTCCTGGACAAATTCATGCCTCATTTCATGGCGCATCTCCATTACAGAATTGTGGATGTCACCTCGGTCAAGGAAATCTGTCGGTAAGATTACTGTTGATCTTGGACATTGTGTGTTGGTCGTGACATACGAAGTGTAATATATGTAGTCCTTGGTATACTCTGTTTACTTAAAATCAAACTTTACTTAACAGAAGGTTTGTTGGTAATAAAAATAATCTTATTAGCAAAGTCTAGTAGTAATGGGATAAGAAACAAAATCTACTTTTATGTTTCCAATATGGCAAATAAATTCATTGAGGCGAAAACTGTTTTAAGTCATTGCAGTAAAATTGATCCTGGTTTGATATTACTTGTAACTATGTTATGTTACTTTTTGATAAATTTCTATATAACATATCTTTTGCTGGTATGTTTTTCTGGTTAAAACGCATACCCACATACAAGAACAAGTCATTACATCAAGGGTTTGTTTTTAAAACAGTTTGTCAAAATATGACTAGTCATTGAAAGACAATTTCATATTTTACTTCGATGTGATTATCTCTCGTCACATGTAACAAAATTGTAAAATTTATTGTGAATGTCAATCATCTCGGATATAAAGTTGTCAATAAATACATTTCACAACTACTTTCCAAATGTTCAGGGTACATGTATGCTTTTGGTGCCTAAAAGTCTGATCTGAAAAGCTCATGGAAATAAGATTCTATCTTATGTTTTTGAATCGATAATGGTCATCTAAAATATGAACTAAACTTCTTTATTGGCATATGCATGAAATTATTAACATATATAACATACATTGATGTTGGTAAATGAATACGTTATACTTGTGAATGTTAGATATTCCTCTATACATATTTGATAATAGATTAGTAGACATCCGGTACAGAAAAACATCATACTCGATTCCATCATTCTAAATGTGTACCGCTGAAGTCATGACTTCCTTGATGTGTACCACTGAGGTTATGACGTCCTAAATGTGTAACACAGAATTTGTGAGGTCCTAAATGTTTACCATCAAGGTTGTGATGTCCTTAATGTGTACCATAGAGGTTGTGTCATCCTTAATGTGTACCACAGAAGCCGCGACATCCTTAATGTGTACCACAGAAGTCGTGACGTCCTTAATGTGTACCACATAAGCCGTGACATCCTTAATGTGTAACACAGAAACCGTTACGTCCTAAATGTGTACCACAGAAGCCGTGACATCCTTAATGTGTGACACAGAAATCGTTACGTCCTAAATGTGTACCACAGAAGCCGTGACATCCTTAATGGGTGACACAGAAATCGTTACGACCTAAATGTTTACCACAGAAGCCGTTACATCCTTAATGTGAACCATAGAGGTTGTGTCATCCTAAATGTGTACCACAGAAGTAATGGCAACCTAAATGTGTACCACAGATGATGTTACGTCCTAGTTGTGTACCATAGAGGTTGTGACTTCCTTAATGTGTACCACAGAAGTAATGGCAACCGAAATGTGTACCACAGATGATGTAACATCCTTAATGTGTACCATAAAGGTTGTGACTTCCTTAATGTGTACCACAGAAGTAATGGCAACCGAAATGTGTACCACAGATGATGTTACGTCCTTAATGTGTACCTCAGATGTTGTGAAGTCCTTAATGTGTACATGTTCATTAAAGGTTGTGACGTCCTTATGATTTATGTGTACTGCAGATGTCGTGACGTCCTTAATGTGTACCGCAGATGTTATGACTTCCTTAATGTGTACCGCAGATGTTGTGTCATCCTCAATGTGTACCATCAAGGTTGTGATGTCCTAAATGTGTACCACAGAAGTCGTGATGTCCTTAATGTGTACCACAGCAGTTGTTACATCCTGAATGTGTACTGCAGACGTTATGACGTCTTTAATGTGTACTGCAGATGTTGTGACGTCCTTTTTGTGAACCACAGAAGTCGTGAGGTCTTTTATGTGAACCACAGAAGTCGTGACATTCTTAATGTGTACTGGGATGTTGTGACGTCCTTTATGTGTACCACAGAGGTACATCACTTCTAGAAAGTAATGTAATGGAACGAAAAATTTTGAAATAATGATATCATAATTAGAATAATGTGTGCAATTCATATGACTTTCACATTTGTTTTGTTTTAGGAGATGGTATCCTGAAGTATTCAAAAAGGCCCCACCCAAAAAGGTATCTCACAGGTATGACCTTTTACATCTTTAACTCCCCCTTTTCTCTCAATGATGCATCCCTCAACATGCACCAAGATTTCTCCTGGATCAAATCTACGTGATCAAAACAAAACTGGTAAAATTGTGACCATATTTTTTTTTTCATCATCCTCATTCATTCCATTCCTTTTCTGATTTGAAGTTTGCAAGCAGATTAATTTGCGCCTGGCTATGATTTTGTGTATAGGAATCAGAATATGTCAATTCTTTACTGAACATGGTCAGCATATGTGTTAATATACCGATAATTATATACTAGTGGAAAAAAGAAACTGTGCATGCGGAGAATTGTTCTAGAACATGTATTACCAAATGTATATACATGAAAATTCACACACATGACCGAGTATGACACATACACACTATCCGTGTGTCATTGATAGATTTTCCCGTGCAGTTTGCTCTCTATAGGCGTTGACCAGTTTGCACGTTTTTCTCGTTGGGTCACTCTGTTGAGACCAGTGAACAGTAAAAACAGCATTATTACGTTTTAATTTGTGATTAATGCTATGCCGAGGCTAATGAAAATGACCGCCTCCGGATTATTGGTATGCTTCAAGCTGGTATGGGCCAAGCCGTTGTCTCTACACGTTTTCATGTCCATCGAAACACAATCAGGGATTTGTGGAGACAACATCAACAGTTTGGCCACGTTGGCGATCGACCTCGTGCTGGACGTCCACTTGTGACGTCACGTCAACAGGACAACCATATTCGGCTTGTCCATTTGAGAAGTCGCTTCCAAACCGCAAGTTTAACTGCACGGATAATCCCTGGGTTGCTACCAATAAGCCCGAGAACTGTACGGAACCGATTGCGTGAACGAGCTATCCGTCCGTGGGCGTCCTGCAATCCGCCCAGTTCTTCTTCCACGTCATCGTGTATCACGTCTGGACTGGTGCAGAAGGCATCTGCGATTTACTCGATGGGATTGGGCAGGAATTTTGTTTGCGGACGAGTCGCGAATCCACCTGGATAGTAGTGACCGCCGTTCCAGAGTGTATCGTCGCGTTGGAGAACGTTTCCGTGACGGGTGTGTGGTACAACGACGTTCTTTTGGCAGAGGCAGCGTTATGATTTGGGGCGGCATCACAGCCAATGGGAGAACGCCTCTGGTGGTTGTTAATGGGAATTTGAACGCGCTTCAAGGGCAGCAACGTCGCATTACGCTACAACAGGACAACGCCAAGCCACACACAGCTCATGTCGCTATGGACTTTCTGGCCCAGCAGAACGTTGATGTGTTGCCCTGGCCTGCTGTATCCCCCCAGGCATTACCTAATCAACCGGTGACATTGGCTGATTTGGCTGCAGTGTTGGTACAGATCTGGAATGCCATCCCACAAGCATTCTTGAACCGTCTGATAGGCTCCATGCGTCGACATTGCCAGGCTTGCATTCAGGCAAATGGTGAACATACGAGGTATTAACTTTGTGAACTCAGTATTGACCCCTGCTGTGTTTATGTCACTCCTGAGCGGAACTTATTGATTCCATAACGTGGAAAATGGAATGCAACTGTTAATAAATAACAAATAAATTGTCCCTGAAAACCTTGTTGTTCTACGTCATACACATTTATTTTTATAACACATTTTAGGCATGCACAGATTCTTTTTCCGCTAGTATATATAAACAACCCAGTAATTGTATACTACATTTTTTAACTGAACGTGGTCAGTATACGTGTTAGGATACCTATATTTATATATAAACATTACAGTAACTGAAATTTACTGAATACGAGTACCACAATTCACATAGAAAATAAGTTGTATAAGTCCGCATAGGAGATCAGGGCCTGTATTCTTGAAACTGTTTTCGCCCTCAAGCACGGATTCTGTACTCAAACCACCTTTATTTTGGCTCATTTAGGTCATGCAACGATCAAGTAGTCAAGTGTATAATTTGAAAGTGAATTTCGTTTGTCTCTCCAAAAATTCTTCCAAATGGTTGGCGAAATGTGAATTTTTCTTTTTTCAATTATCACCAGAACATGCCATTTGGCTGGAGCACAGGATAAAAGTTTGAACATGAAAACGGTTCCATTAATAGGAGCCCAGGGTTTACGTTGTTTTGAGTGAAACCTCAAGCAAGGCTAGCTGAGTACATGATTTGTACGTCTTTGGAGTAGTAAAGGGGTAGATTACTAAGTCTCTTGTGTGTGGTGAGCTGAGATTCTTTGGTGTACAATTTAATTGTCAAAAAATCCCAACAGAAGTAACCATTAACTAAATCAAATCCAGATCTAAATGAATTCAATTTTAATTTACTGGTCGGGTCAGGCATGTCGATTTAGAGGGCTTTTCAATAAACTGGTTTAGTGTTGCATATATATTTGGTAATTTATTTTTGTTGCAGGGCTTTGGATGATATAAAAGAAAGCATAGAAGAGCTACGGTTTTACAAGTCTTCAATATTTAAGTGATCATTTCATAAACACTACATTCGTTATAACACGGATGAATATTGATAAATGGTGGAAGTGATACTCACGGATGAAGATTGATAAATGGTGGAAGTGCGGATGAAGATTGATAAATGGTGGAAGTGATACTCACAGATGAAGATTGATAAATGGTGGAAGTGATTCTCACGGATGAAGATTGATAAATGGTGGAAGTGATACTCCGGACCAATATTCACACATGGTGGAAATGATAATCTGGTAATAAATAAGTCATTTGTCTCCCACCAGTTCCCAGGGGGAGGGACTATAGGTTTCCACTCCTCTCGTCCGAAAAGTTTGTCCGGGGTATATCTTTTATACTATTACACCTCGAGTAACCAGACTTTGTGAACTAGGATATCTTGGGATGGCAGAGTGCAAGTAGAAGGTCACTGTGACATATGACTTGACCTTTGACCTTTGACCTTTACTTTTGAAAATGTTTGTCCTGGGCTTATCTTCTATAATTTTTGAACTGGAGTAACCAGATTTGGTGTACAAGTGCATCTTAGGATGACGGAGTGCTGAGTGCAATAATTAGGTCATTTTGACCAATGACATGATAATTGACCTTTACTTTTGAAAAAGTTTGTCCGGGGCATGTCTTCTATGCTATTTCATCAGCAGTATCCATATTTGGTGTACAAGGACATCTTGGGATGACGGAGTGCACGGAGTATATATCGGGATATACTTTCCTTATAATAGGTACATCCTGACATAAGTGTACTGTTTGTTAAATATAGAAANATACTCACGGATGAATATTGATAAATGGTGGAAGTGATACTCACGGATGAAGATTGATAAATGGTGGGAGTGCGGATGAAGATTGATAAATGGTGGAAGTGATACTCCGGACCAATATTCACACATGGTGGAAATGATAATCTGGTAATAAATAAGTCATTTGTCTCCCACCAGTTCCCAGGGGGAGGGACTATAGGTTTCCACTCCTCTCGTCCGGAAAGTTTGTCAGGGGTATATCTTTTATACTATTACACCTCGAGTAACCAGACTTTGTGAACTAGGATATCTTGGGATGGCAGAGGGCAAGTAGAAGGTCACTGTGACATATGACTTGACCTTTGACCTTTGACCTTTACTTTTGAAAATGTTTGTCCTGGGCGCCCTTATCTTCTATACTTTTTGAACTGGAGTAACCAGATTTGGTGTACAAGTGCATCTTAGGATGACGGAGTGCAGAGTGTAATAATTAGGTCATTTTGACCAATTACATTATAATTGACCTTTTCTTTTGAAAAAGTTTGTCCGGTGCATGTCTTCTATACTATTTCATCAGCAGTATCCATATTTGGTGTACAAGGACATCTTGGGATGACGGAGTGCACGGAGTATATATCGGGATATACTTTCCTTATAATAGGTACATCCTGACATAAGTGTACTGTTTGTTAAATATAGAAATTATTATTATAGGTATGGGACTTTGGATTGCCTTGCAATACTTTGCCTTATTGAATATGGTTTTGGTATTTCTTAACTAATATATAAACTGTCCATAAGACCAAAACGCTGGTGTGAGTAATCATTTAATCATTATCCCGGGCTGACACTTTTCATTATATAATAAATATTCCAACCTTGTATGATATTATAAAATCGACAATTCCATAAAAGATCCCGAAAATTTGGCATGTCTGAACTGAAAAGATACATTGTTAAGTGTAGGCATCTTATCAAGTTCGTACGTCTCATAGTGATGGATTTCCACTTTGACCTCGAGCCAGATTGTTAGGAAGTGGCAAAGATGAAAAACAGACATTAAATGTTGGACTTTGTTTTATGCCTGGGTTTAAGTCGTAGTTTGAATACTTCGGCAGGAATATCTGAATCCCATACTCCACGCAGTACCAACATGGCGGCGATGCGTCCGATCTCGTCGCTAGACTTGGCGGCGTAGCCATTGCCTCCGATAGCTACACAGAGACCGGGATGGACAAGGTCAATGTAGGGACGACCGGTTGGAGTCTCTAGGATCACACACTGATCACCGTGAAAGGACTTTGCCTTGATACCTGTACAAATACGATGTTATAGACAAGCTGTAAGATAACAAGCCATGTACAAATACGATGTTATAGACAAGCTGTAAGATCCCTGTACAAATACGATGTTATAGACAAGCTGTAAGATAACAAGCCATGTACAAATACGATGTTATAGACAAGCTGTAAGATACCTGTACAAATACGATGTTATAGGCAAGCTGTAAGATACCTGTACAAATACGATGTTATAGACAAGCTATAAGATAACAAGCCCTGTACAAATACGATGTTATAGACAAGCTGTAAGATACCTGTACAAATACGATGTTATAGACAAGCTGTAAGATAACAAGCACTGTACAAATACGATGTTATAGACAAGCTGTAAAATAACAAGCCCTGTACAAATACGATGTTATAGACAAGCTGTAAGATACCTGTACAAATACGATGTTATAGACAAGCTGTAATTTAAGACACAGACGCTTGGATACAGACTTACGACTGCCTGCCACTATGCAAACTCGGTTACGTAAAATTCTATTATGTCGGCGATGTAACAACATTTTTCATTGGCTACTAAAATATAACCATGCATGCATTATTTGACGATAGACCATGCACAGGCCTGTATTATTTTCTTAAAGTCCATGCACGTGAAATGCAACAAGCGACCTTGGGGCTTGTTTGAACTTTCCTTTGTTGAATGAGGGTACAATGTATACACATTTATTTTTGTATATGTTTGAATATTTAATTCCGAGCAAACCATATCCTCATATTTACGTTATTTACTAAATTCCTGGCCGGTCACTTTGAAATGTTCTACTATGTCTAACTGATAATCGACCTACTTCATCATATTGAAGATCATGTTGATGTTTTGATAGTGTTTATGTACAGGAAAAGAGAGTGAGAACAGAGATAATTCTGTAGATAGGAGAGACGACTATTAAAGGTTTCTAAAGTTACAGATGAGACCAGGTCTGGTGGGAGATTATTCCAGTCTGAGCCAGTTCTGTAAAAATAAAAAGAGTATTTGTGGCAGTCTGTTTGCAATGTGGATAGTCCGAATTATTCTGACGTTTTATCAACTTTTTAGGTTACCTGAGCTTTAGCTCAAGTAACCTATTGCTATCCGTCGTCGTCCGTTAACATTCAACTTAAGCTGAAATACTGTAAAAGGGATTTCATTGATACTAAATGGGAATGTTACTGACTACTTCCTGACCAAGTGTTGTTATTTTTCGTGTCGATCAGAAATCCAATATGGCTGCCACGACCGCCATTTTGAAAAACTATTTCAAACTTAAAGTCAAGTTCTACTGGGCTGATTTAACTGAAACTTGGTATGAATGATCAACTTATGGTCCTGACAAATTGTTGTTATTTTTCGGGTCGATCAGAAATCCAATATAGCCGCCACAGCAGCCATTTTGAAAAACTATTACAAACTTAAAGTAAAGTTCTACTGAGCTGATTTAACTGAAACTTGGTAGGAATGATCGACTCATGGGCCTGACAAATTGGGGTTTTTTTTCGGGTCGATCAGAAATCCAATATGGCCGTAATAGCTGCCATTTTGGAAGAAAAATATTTAAAACTTAAGATCAATTTCTAATATGCCTATTTAACTGAAACTCGGTCTAGGAATGATCAACTCATTGTCCTGACAAACTGAACTTCACGTTGTACCTAACTATTTTTTACTCAAATTTTGGTAGGGATGATTGACATCATTATCCCCACTTCATATTTCAACAACAAAAATCAATACTGTAGGACTTGGGTGACCGTTAAGGCCCATGGGCCTCTTGTTTTATATCGCCAGACCGATATAAAAAAAGTCGATAAAACGTCAGAATAATTCGGACTACAAATTAAAGTGGAGTGTGATAAGAGAGAGAGTGAGAGTATCGTGTCTGTCGCAACTGTTTGGTCAGGTATTTTTCTTTTGTCTGCAAAGTGTTGATTTCTTGCGATGTCAATGCTTTTGATGGATTGAAATAAATATTTTGTATCAAACATGACGTCAATGTTTATTTTTTTGTCGTTTGTCTAATTGAGAAACCAAGTAGCGACGGAAAATCGTTAAGCTTGATCGGACTTCAAACCCAAAATTGGAGAAACGATATATGTAGGTTAAAAACGAGCAGTTTGAATGCAACACGTGACCGATATTTGCACGTGCAAAAGAACAACCTAATTTGATAAATTTTATTATCAAGGCCACCTTGTATACTGTAGGCTATATGGACACAGACTGGGTCACGAAAACGCCCTTTCATTTTATTACAATTGAAAGAGAATAGATACGTTAATAACCTTGTGTTTGTATAATATGATGGAATATGAACGTATATGTAACTAGGGATTCGATAATTTCGTAAATTATTTCGTTAATTATTTTTCCGATATTTTCTCACCCTCGTAATATATTCCGTCTTGATGCACGTAGATATGTTGATTATTTCTGAAATGAAATCTAACCAACATAGAAAACGTTTATTATGGAAGTTTTCATAATACAAATGTATATATAAAAAAAGCACTATTTAATTGCATTATCAATAGTCGATTGTATATCATCATTTACCTGTGATACAGCGAGAACTCCTTACGACATTAATATTAATAAACGGTTGTTATGAAAACAGCTGAAATAAGCAATGTGCACTGATAACATATATGACGTCGATGTTTATTACAACATAAACGCACTATCTTAAATGTTTAGTCACGGAATTAGATTATCTAAGTCCGTGGTTTAGTTAAAGATTTCTTTAATTCAATTATTAGTTGACTGATTCTAGAAACTGGTGGCAGAAACATACATCTGGGACATGGTGGGAATCTGCACATAAACATGCAACCTTAACTTCATATACTACATGTATCACTCCACTCGCATAAAAGATAGAACACTGACTTTGACAATATGTATCAGCGGAGAGCCTCCAAAATGGACATTCTTCTAAGAATGTTTGACCATTATTTCGGAAAGGGGAAATGTCACGTGATTGGTCAGGTTAGAGTATATACAGTCCATCCTTAAGTCGGGCAACAAGGACCCAACTGATCATGACCCTCTCTATTTAACTCAGGATCATGTTAAATGGAACACACTTTAACCCAATACTTATTACTTCCCGATCTTCTTTAATACATTTAACTGTTTAAACCATATCTAACCCCTTCTCTGTATCACCAAAAACAGAAAAATAAAGACAATTGTCATCATTCGGCACACCATGCTATTAGTACGACTCCAAAATCAACATAACAGCAAGACTAGTTGGTATCGTACGTGTAGTACGTACTCTTCTGGAACTTTCGTTTCAGTATTTTAGTAATGATTCAATGTTTTCGCTGTAGTGCAACATACGATCTGAACCCGGTATCAATGTGGTTATTTTCTCACATATTTCAACAGAGTTAGCCATTCCGTATCCTCCGTGCTTTGATTACAGTTAATGCTGCGAGTGCACTCTTTTGTAAAGATTCATTTTACCTTAAGAGTTTCCTCAGGGGCGATCTACAGTATCTCTGGATTTTGTACTTACATATTAGAAACTATAACAATTAAAAGGTTTCTTTTATATTTACTGCCTTAAAACATGATAGGAAGGAAGGTGTGTATAGTTATAATAGGTTTTAGATATACAAACGTATGTTGAGATATCACCTGGTGTCATGGCTGTGATGAGTCGCGCCGAATCTGTCACCAGAGAAGATATCCCATCACCACAGTACCACGCTTTCACCTCCGCTGGGGTCGTCAGGCGTGGAGACACAGAGTCAGCGAAATTTCCAAGCTTGATGTAATATTTACCTGTAGAGTTAGAAACACAATATATCTCTGTGCGTGGAGTATCAACGATTGGGTGTGTATAGGGCTCCAATCTGATGCATTATAACTAGTTGGTGAACTCTTGTATGTGTGACAATATTGTCAACAGGTTGTTGGAAAACGAGAAAAGGGTGTCATTTTCAAATGTGTTTTAATATAACAAATTGCCCTGCAGAACTGGGGATTTACTTTTGTGCCCTCTTTTTGGATAGACAAAAGCGACCAAAATAACACTGCTGCACCCATTGCAACAATTGGGATCTTTATCTTTCTTTCTACTTCAACCTACCTTTTATTTCCTTCAACCTTGCTTGGCAATGCCTCGCTTTTGGCTTTAAATGTTGAGCGTTCGCCCAGACAAGAGGAAGGCAATTGGTTCTGTCCCCAGGCCGGGACATGCATGTACCAAAGTACTTAAAACTGGTAGTTGTTGCCCCTGCTTAACGATCAGCATTGAGGGTAACGGCAACAACTGGTTCACCCGTTGTCAGTATAATGTGACCGGGGGGAATGCTGTGCTGGGTGCCTTCAGCATGGTGTTTCAGTGAGATAGCACTATAAAGTCGGCATCAGATCCGCACTATCACAAGGAGGCAAGTACCCAGCATACCCTGTCACCGGCACACATACACACATGCACGCTTATACAAGACGCATGGAGACACGTCCTTAAATGACCTTAGCTTTTAATAGGAAGTTAAAAAAAAAAAAAAAAACCCAAACCAAACAGTTCTAGTTTATTTTGATATTTAGTATTTTCAACACCTAGTTAAAATTTTGTCGAATTTTTACAGTAATAGAATATCATGTTGAAAATAGTATCAAGAGTAGAAAACGGGGAAAATTACTTTGTACAATGCCATATAATATGATAAAATAATATTAAATAGACTAAATTGATCTGATGTACCGGTATGTGTTGCAACGAATTACCTATCTGTATTGAAACTGCTAAACAATTCATGTAACATATAACTTTGTATGTGGAATTCAACAGAAATGAAAATAAGTAACGAACAGACCCTACAGGTGAAATCTTCATACATTTACAATGAACCAGGTGAGTTAGCTGTAGCCGGATGTCTTTTTAGACTCACCATCCGGGTATTTGATGGGTGGAAGTACGTATACGCCGATGAGGTTGCTAGCATTACGTGGGTATTTTGTGGGCCAGTCCGGGGCACCATGACCGTAGTACAGGATGGACGGCATCTGTCTGGAAAATGACGTTATTAAAAAAAATACAAAGAACAATCTTGTTAGCGATTGACTACCTGCGCGAACATATGGGTCCAGCAAAAATGAAACAAGTCATCGCTTTTGGTAAAACGCATGTTTCACGTACATGTATCTTTGCGACACCAGACACTTACTTTACACGCTTAGCATCCTCTTCGCTGACCTCGACCTTGGCTACAGTCAGCGGACAGAGTGTCACTTCCGGTTCCGTTCCTGTGCACAGAAGGTCTTTGAAGGTTGTGTAAGATCCTGTGGCCAGAAGGACTCGCTGTGCCTTAATCGTCCGACCTTCCTCTGTCAATACCGACATGTACGACTTGCCGTCGACGTGATCTCGTGAAACCTTACATACAACTTCATTGATGACGTCACATTGGTTATTCATAGCCACGAATTTCTGTGCATATATCAGCGCCCTAGGGCTTATGTAGCCTGCCCTTGTCGTTTCGTAGATTGCCTCGTCTGTGTTGGACATGCTGAGGTACGGAAATCGTTTCTTGAGTAATTCAGAATCGATGAATACGTGCTGAATGCTATGTGATGTTACTGTGTCTCGGGTGAGAGACATGAACTGCCCCTGGACTGTGCCGGCCATCAGACAGCCCGCCTCTGTGTAGAATGTCACGCCTGTTGTACAGAAAACGCCAACAGATTAATACGTCGTATATATAGCACTATAAAAACCAAATAAATACTTCAACTGTTTTTAAGAAAAAATATATTTTCCCAATAACTAAGCGCAAGCGAAATATCCCAGTCTCGTCCCATCATTTATAGGGGTGCCGATTGGGACATCAATAGAATATGCCAATTCAGGCTTTCTGGTCGCCATCACCCATAAGTTTTACTTTTTGCATAACTATTCCTTGGGGTTCGACCATCTGATAGTGTATGAATTAATGTCAGCTTGTAGACCATAAAGAGATACAAAGGGGTAAGATGGGAGAACAAAATCCGAGATGGTCACATTTTGGTAAGAATACATGCTATTTTTGGAACCTTTTCCTTCATATGTTGGTGTATTGTGTAACACTAAATCTGTATATAATAGCAAGAAGCCCAGAGGATCTGTATCGCTCACCTAGATGATATAGAAACCATGGGAAATAGTTCATATTACATAACATCCCTCCGCTGGTACAGAAGAAGGATTTTTAAGATGTAAACCTCAAATTTCCCTATTGGATCCCGCAGTTGTGCACCCGTTTATACAACATTTAGTCCCCTTTGCCAAAGGATGCTCCAGGCCAAACTGGATGGAATCCCTCCAATTACTTCATCCTCAAATTCCTCTTCTGCATCCATGGGGGAGACACCCTCCGTTTTCACAAAATTTAATCCCCTTAGACAAAGGATACTCAGGCCAAATTTGGATAAAATCCCTCAAATAATACAGAAAAAGATTTTTAAAGACTTGAACCTCAAATTTACCTTTTCAGCCCTGCCCCTCTGCACCCAAAGGGGCCACTACATGTACCAATGTTTATCCAAATAAAAGTCGCCTTTGCCCAAGGATGTTCCAGGCCAAATTTGGGATGAAAACCCTTAATTCCTTTGATAAAAGAAGAATTGCAAAGGTTTTACTTCTATTTCCCCTATTGGGCCCCATCCCCTCTGCCCCAAGTCGATCCAAACCCACCATTTATACAAAATGGAGTCCCCCTCGCCCAAGAATGCTCCAGAATAAGTTAGGATAAAATCCCTTAATCCTAACGGTAGAAAATGACTTTAAAGTGTTTACCTCTATTTCCCCTATTTGGTCAAGCCCCTCCGTCCCCAGGTGGACAACACCAACCATTTATACAAAATTGAGTCCTCTTGCCCCATGGATTCTCCTGATCAAATTGGGATAATATCCTTTAAACCTGATGATTGAAAACGGATTTTAAAGGTTTTACCTCTATTTCCCTATTGGGCCCCGCCCCTGTGCCCAAAAGAAGGCCACACCAACCGTTTATACAAAAATGAGTCCCCTTTACCTAAAAATGCTTCAGACCAAATTGGGATGAAATTCCTTCATCCCTATGGTAGAAGAAGGATTTTAAAGGTTTACCTCTATTTCTCCTATTCGGCCCATCCCTTTGCCCAAGGGGGGCCACACCCACCGTTTATAGAAAATTGAGTCCCCCTCGCACAAGGATGATCCAGACTAAATAAGGATTAAATCCCTTTATCCCTCCAGGAGGAAAAATATTTTAAAGATTTGAACCTAAAATTTACCTTTTCAGCCCCGCCCCTCTAACTCCAGGAAGGCCACACTAACCATTTATACAAAATTGAGTCCCCTTGGCCCAAGGATTGTGGTCGTGAAGGTCATGAGGACCAGAGCGACTGTGATATTGCCAACCTGCTTTGTGTCAACTGTGAGGGAAAGCATGCTGCATCGTCTCGAGACTGTCCTGCCTGGAATCGCGAGAGAGAGATATTGCGGGTCAAATATACCCGAAATGTCTCCTTTCCCGGGGCTAGGACAATGTCTAGGACTAGGACAATGTCGCAGTCAAGGATGCTTCGGTTCAAGTATCTGAAGACATACCTGCCTGGGGCTCGCAAGTCCCAGACATGGCTGTTCAACAGAACTTAAAAAATCATAACGGGAGACCCATCCCGTTTCACGACTATAACCAAACCAACTAAAAACAACAAACAGTCAAAAGCAGCATCACCATCAAAAACAGCATCTTCATCAAAACCAGCACCACCATCAAAAACATCTTGCTCTCCAGGAGAAAACCCTCCAAAGGTTGGCCCATCTAGGGCACATATGCGTTCGCAGCGATCCCGTCGCTTACATCTGTACCTCGATTCCAACTGAGGTCAGAGGTAACATCACCAACCGACAGACCCAAGAAAAAAAAAGAAAAAAATAGCCAGGGACAAATCTGATGGACCCGATCTCAATGTCACCTATGGCAAAGGATCAGAGGACCAGACAAACAGATTTAACGTCCTGATCAGATCGTAAAATCAGACAGATTAATCCCTATAGTTAGAAAATCCCGAACAAACCACCAGTTTTCGTATCAAATTCCCCACTCAAAAACCCAGACCAGAAAGGCATCATTCTTCCCTCGGACTATACCCGAGTGGAATAAACTCCCACCTGACGTTATGTCGAGCCCCACAACGGAATTATTCAAATCAGCCCTCTACCGTCACTTTTCAAACGCAAATTAGACCATCTCGTATCTTTTAAAACAATCTCTTTCCATGTTTCACTCCTCGTCTGACATTTTATCTTCAAATTGTTGAAGTTGGTCAGTACAATTTAGAAGTAGAAGAAGAGACGAATGCCTCAACGCTTCGTGCTTCAACTCCATCGAAATCCAGCCAAAGTAGAAAAATATGAACAATACAATTATCCAATGGAACATCCGCGGGGCTCATTCCCCGAACACCAACTCTGGAGAATTGAAAGGAAGGGGTTTGTATAGGAAATACTTTGAAGTTTAGTTATAGCCTGTTTCAACTAAGAATGTCAACTCATTCTGTAGATATGATACTAAAGTCAATAATAAAATGGATAAAAAGTTTTTATTTCCTACATATAACTGTAATACATATTTAACACAGAACTAAGTAATAGAAATTACTCATTAAATATTAATTTTTACATTATATGAAAAAGAAAAATAACATTACATTATATGAATAACAAAATTCCTTAATTTAAGCCACATTGATATACTAATGTCAGCAATAAAATACAGTTTCTATTCCTACATATAACAGTAATACACATTTAATACAGCACTAAAAGATGGCCATTATTAAACATAAATATAAACAGTAAACCTTTCTGGAGCTAAAGTAGATGAAGAATTTTGCATGAATCATGATGATTTTAGTTGGAATGGATTTTTTTGCCAAAAGTATAAGATCTTCCTTTATTTCGAATGTTTGGTCAGTTTTTTATTATATCCATCTACGTATGTCTTGCCAGAAGGTATTAGTTGTTTGACACTGTTAAAAAAGATGTTCTATAGTTTCTTTGCTTTCTTGGCATAAATTACATAAATCACACTGTTTGATTCCAATTATTTTCAAACAATGATTAGGTTGAAGTATTCTTGAAAGAAGCCTGAAAGTGACCCATTGAATGCTAGTTTTAAGTACATATATAAAGTTTTCTAAATCAATCATTTTGAGTCCACCCTCACTATAGTCTTGAACAATTGTTGAGCGTTTTATTCTATCAATTGGTGATTGCCAGACAATTTTTGTTTTGTTTTTGTTCAATGATTGAATTATGATATAAACAGATGATTCATTTTTGCAATGATAAGAGATTTAAGAACAGTTATTCTCCTTATAGGTGTTAAAATTCTTCTTGACCATTGATGTAACTTACCATCTATAATACTAATAATTTTGTTGAAATACAGTAACCATGTCTTCTAAATTGACAGAGAAATCAATCCCAAGTAAGGTAAATTTGGTTGTTTACTTTTAACCCTGATATTTTAGTATATTTATATCATATAAAGATTTTGTGCCATTTAAAATAACGGATGTGTCATCAGCGAACTGTGAGAGCCCGTGTACTTTGTTATTTATGTTTATGCCCTAACGTTTTTATTATTTTTTAACATGATAGTTAATATTTCAACTACCAAAAGAAATAAGTAAGATGATACTGGATCCCCTTGTCTACCGACCCTTTTTATGTTTACAAAGATGGGTTAAAAAAACATTCTGTATGATTGCCGAGGAAGTATTTGTATTAAAACATAACAGATAATAATATCAAACTGAAGTCACCCAAGTTAAACACAATTCATAGAAATCTGAAAATACAAGTTTAACTTATATATCATAATAAATATATGACTGATTCTGAAAACTGTTCTAAAAAAATATTAATTATTATTTTGCAATTATTAGCAGTTATTGATTATCTGATTATGTGATTTTAAGCAGAGTTGGTGTTCGGGGGACACCCCATCCGGGCTCAAAGGCAAATATAGAAGAATTTCAGAATCTATTAAAAGAATTTAGACCCGCCATTTTCTGTCTACAAGTAATCATGCTCAAAAACCCAATCAAATGTCTCACTCTACAGTCACATTCCAACTGTAGGCAGCAGAGCAGCAGGTGGTGCAGCTGTAGCTGTCCATACACATATTCCTCTCATAATGATCAAGTTAAACACAAATGTACAGGCTGTTGCTATCTGTGCAACATTACACAGACATATAACCGTCTGTTCAATTTATCACCCTCCGAGTATTGTTTTCACTTGTGAGCAACTCATTAACATCGTCTCCCAGCTCCCAACACCATTCATAATCCTCGGTGATTTCAATGGTCATAATATTCTGTGGGGCTTTCAAAACACAGACGTGAGAGGAAGACGTATCGAGGAATTTATAGATAAAAACAACTTGTGCCTTTTTTACAACAATACCCCTACCTATTCTCACTCTGCTACAGGCTCTCGCACCCACATTGATCTATCATTATGCCATCCTTCCATTCTTCTTGATTATGACTGAAAGGTAAATAAAGATCTTTGTGGGAGTGACCACTTTCCAATTTTTCTTAAGAATATTGGGACTCCTCTTGATGATCCTCTACCTCGATGGAATATGCACAAAGCAGATTGGGTCCAATTCCAACACATGTGCAATGAGAAGCTAACCACAGAAAATTTTACTAACCTCGACTACCCAATCAAAACATCAATTCGTTATCTCTTTTATTATTTTAACCCCCTTTTTATTTTAATTATTTACACATACAATGCGAATGCTTTTAAAATGAACCTTTTTTTATCTGATTTTGTCTTCGCTACTCACATGTTTGTTAAAAAAAAATTAAAAAAAATATCACCATGGCCCTAAATGACCACAGCCGTCGATGGACCGTTAAACATAAACAAACAAACAAACAAGCCCAAGGATGCTTCAGACCAAATTAGGATTTATTCCCTATGATAGAAGAAGGATTTCAACGGTTTTACCTCTATTTCCCCCATTGGGCCCCGTCCCCTGCCCCAAGTCGGTCAAAACCCACCGTTTATATTGAACATAATTTTTCGTGTCCACCTAAGTGTCCATACGCCTTCACATTGTATAGTATATTTTTCGCATGATGCCAATACGTTTACATTCACAATAATTTGTGAGGTTTTTTTTGCCTATTTAACCTGGATATATATGGGAAGAATTTTTCATTTTCAATCAATCAAATCCACTAATCCGTCGGCATCGCTTGTCAACAAATGAAGTCAGTATTGACGGATTTAATTACTTTTGTTTCATGTCAACTTTGCAGCAAGTTCAATGGAACAGCCTGACCGGGAATTTGACAGGTTTTAAGTAGATCTAGAGTTTAGATAGAAACATAAATGCATGGTCATTACATCGCAAACATGGTAGAAGTTATCTTAACCTTATCTTAAGAATTGGGATTTGAGGTGGGGACGGATGGCGTTTTTATACTTTTTTCATATTTATTTTTTACATTTATATTCAGAATTGCTGAGGGGGAGGGGGGGGGGAGTAAGCCATGGAACAACCTCTGCTTTTATCTGCCAGTGTCTTAAGATCAGAACGGTCTGTGGTGATAAATGATTCCAATGAAGGTATGCACATACAAATATGATGACCTTTCACCAAGGGATGGTAGTACATCCAAATGTTAACCAAAATACCCACCAACATAAAAAAAATACCCCGCTTTACTTCACAACTTCTTCTTGAGATTACCTTAAGATATCCTTATAGTATAATTTGACGAGATTAATGTATAGCTCTAAGGCACGAAATAGGGTGTCGTTGACACGAAAAAGCCGATATGATAACATGGCCATTGTGACCTACTTATCAACTATACATATGCCGGTTGTTCGGTCACTTACATTATGTCGTGCTTTAGTATTACACAATGCATTAAAATTATCGAGACAGGTTCCAAAAATAGCATCACAATGATATGCCCTATCTTTCAATGCAAAACAATAACACTTATCAGTGGTAGCGACTAGAACACCCAGATTGGCACCCCTTCTTCTTTCTTTTCAGATCATGACTTTTTATGTTTAAAGTATATAGTCTTGAATGGAATATAGAGCATGCTTTCATGCTCAGTTTTAAAATAAATTATTTCGGTGAATTTAAGGCATAAAATTAATCAGATGCATCAATAAACCAAATGCTGCCTTTGATAACTCGCATCCAATGGTTGACCTACCGGAAGTAGCCTCTAGCTCCCTGTACCTATCTATAGATCGCTGCGCCAAAGTGGCCCACACCGGGTCGGGATCAGAGCACCGCGTGATCCTCCCTTCATCGTAATGGGCGCCAAATATCTCCCTTGAAGATCCCAAACTCCTCTCCTGTATGAGAAAAAAGTTTACTCAAATGATATAACGGGTATGATGCAGAGTTCTCAAATGATATAACGGGTATGATGTGATGCGCAAAAAGTATATCTAGAAGTAAGGGAAGCAGAACTAAATCCCGTTTATTCAAGTTGTATAACTAGACTTTACTATGGTGAACGTCCCCTCAACACAATTAAGCTACTGTGTAATAGTGCTATACTAGGGTCCGTTATTTACATGTCACAGTCAATTCGCTGCACTAGATTATATGATGTTCTTTATATGAGGCTTTAATTCATATCTCATGTTGACCAATAGTCAACTTAGTCACAGCCAAGGGTTTCTACTGGGAGGTCGGTAACGGCACGATTTCTCACCCGGGGTGAGAAATTGTGCAAAACATATCGGATAAAGGTGACACGTTTTCTCACCCTTACTCTCTATCTCAATTGGGGAGGATTTCATCCGTAGTGTCTTAAAACTTATCTAAGTGTACATGTGATAGATGAGCTGGCATGATATCAAATGACTAGTAGTTCAATGTACAATAACCTAATATTTATTGATTGATTTATCTATCAATCTTGTTTATTAATTGATTTATCTATCAATCTTGTTTATTCCTTTACTTTTTACATACACAGTAAAAATCTTCACAGATTCTATAAGACGATGAAAAAGCAATTCCCGATTCATACAGTGCACGTGCGCGCACCTTCTTAAACACATCCAAACCGTTCCGGTTCACCTAAATTGTGAGATAATTAACACATCGGCTACGACTTCTTTTGATGGCAGTACCTGTATTTATCAATTTATTTATTATATATTTATTTTTGAATCAGGAGAACTGATTTTGTTTAAATGCGAATGAATATATTCTAATCATAGAGACGTTTTCAAACGACAATTTGCGCGAGATATATCGTACAACGAGACTAATATAATACCTGTAACTGACCGAGATATATGACAGGTAGGCAACGAGACTAATGAAATATATTACCTGTAATACCGAGATCGGGTTATCTCAGTCGAGGGCTAAATTGTAAGATTCTGTAACATTGTCCCAACCGAGGCGTAAACCGAGGCTAGGATGTTACTGAATCTTATCCCGAGACTGAGATAACCCAATGTCAGTCAGTTACAGGTTCAAGTATTACATTTTTTTCTCGCACCTTATAGTGTGAACAACTATTCAATTTTGATAACACTGCTACATGTAGCATCAAGTCTGGGGCCCCACCTTAATTTGAATGATTCCACTTAAAAAAGAAGTCCGTCTTTACAAGGAGGAAACGCGTTTTACAGTATAGATTATATTTTTTCTACAACATCAGACATCTAACAACATAATATACATTAGAACCATACAAATAATGACAAAACAGAATGAGTATTATGCAGATTGTCGTTTTTGAGCCGTTTACTCGCGGATGAATACGTCGCCGTGTAAAATTCTGCGAAATGTCACGTAGTGGTAAATCGGACGAGATAGAAAAGAATTAGCATGGCGTATGACGTGAGATATCTCTGCCCGAGTTGCGAAAAAACCTTGACCCGACAGCCTTACAGAATTAGTTATAATTAAGGCCTCATAAATAATAGCGACACTCTGGTCCAAACATGGAATTGGACCGTACAACTTATTTTACAACATTCATGAAACAGTTTTTACAACTAATATTAACCACTCTTGTTAGTACGGATGGAAGCGTGTGTGGGGTCTTGTTGAAAGGTTGTTGCGCTATCCACTGCGCCACCGATATATACAAGTGGAGATTGACCGGAAGTACTGCGCAACAACTAAAGCCTGTGTGTATTTGGAAGGCTCTTACCTGCGGTTCCTCAGGTCCTATAAGACACACTCTGGTATTGTGTTGTAGGGAGGCATGGCGGGCTGCAGCTGATCCGATCAGTCCTGCTCCAATCACGCACAGGTCGTACATGTCCAGTTAAAATAGTCCTTATGTGTTCCCAGGTTATACCAATCGACAACAGTATACCTACCAAAATAATGCGATGGCACGCACCGTGCGCTGCAATTGCATCAGTGTGTGGAAATCCGGTAATCTTATCTGAAAGTTAAACACATTGCATTATCAAACAATAGGGCGATGAATGTTATCTTACAGTCCCTGTATCACAACACTACCACAGGACTGTAGTATGACCCTTGCCTCAATAAAGTACACCTGGTAGGTCGGGAGAAAGAATATACCTGCTGTAAACCACTGCATGAAGTAGGAGGCAGTAAATGTTCTGATATCTCCTTATATGGCATGTCATTCATTACTTTTCATTCATATGGAAATAAAGTAGTGACGCCATTGTTGTTGTTGTCTGTAATTTCCCCCGCTACCTAATCGGGGCACCTCGATGTGGTTTTCTGTCGAGTAGTATATGTCGCTGGGGTACTTTTTGGCGTTCCTGTATATTTATATTTATGTCACATGGAAAATCCCATTACCGTAATGATAATCATCACCCTATTTATAAATGCATCGCAGTATATATGTACACAGTTTAGTTGCATCTAGTGGCGGTGAGGTTAACAGCACTACACACTATATCATATACACACCGATAAGTACAACTAGTAGTCTAACCATTCTACCATAATACCTCAAACAAATTGCAAAAGAAAGAAACACATTTGTAATAAGTTGATCTCGTAGGTATATATCACGTGTTAAAATTGACTAATATTCGTGTTTTTTGTATTAAATATTGCCTACTATTGATATGGCCTGTATGAGCCGCCGTATATATAAAGAGTGCTGTAAAGGGAGGTAATCATGCAGACGACGCATGTTTCATTCGCTGTCATCGTTGGTAAGTACACATAGTATATATCTAGTTATAAGTTATAGGTGGAGAGGTGGTAACGTCTAAGGTATAACGTTATATACAAGCTATTGCTGATAGATCAATCATATCTATCTATATCTAAGGTAAAGTTCCGTTATTGAGTATGCGTAAAACTAGCCCATTCAGGCAAAGACACTGGAATTCTTGATGCTGTTCCAACTCAATTCATAAGTCTAATAATCTGCATCTTTCTCGATGTAATTTGTATATCATCACCCGGGAATGTCTTCGTATATGAAACAGTGAGTTTTTGGAGTTCCCTATCAATTCTGTTATATCTAAGTGGCTGCAGTCCAGTATTAACTGAAGTGTGTGGCCGCAATCAGCAGGTATGGCTAGGGCTGCATCTGGGAAGACCTAACAGAGTTTTGATAGGAGAAAAGTATTCCAACCTACATGCATCTAGTGCTTGGCATTTGACAATAAAGTGTACTCCATTTTCAGGTTCTGCTTTACAAAGTAAGCATGTTGGAGGTACTGAGTGTTGTTTAAATTTATGTTTGTAAGTTTGCAAAGTGTAGGAGCCTAGCAACAATCTGGCCTTGACGATCGCCTCAGTTGTCTCCCTTGGACTGCCATCTGTTGTATCCCAAACTGAGTGTGGGCGAACTCAATGGTTTATTTGGGATGTGGAGGTAGCGTAAGGACGGTTTCTGCACTCGTTCGTCCTGCCATACTTCCAGCCAGTATTTGTTTAAGGTATCCTGTATCATATTTTTCCATTGTTGCTTTGTTGGCGGGTTGCTGAGTGAATTGTATATTGTTGGAAGGTTATATTTCAGTAACATCCTTCTCATGTGTAGAAACTAACTGTGACTAGTTCCATCCTTTATTGCAAATTGACGTAGTGCCAGTAAGTGTTCCAGTGTGGTTTTCCTTCTAGCAATACTTCCTAAGGTACTTAGTGAGGTTTTCTCTATTGTGGTAGTGATCGGGGACGCCCCTAGCAGAATTATGTACCGGCAACTGAGCATTAGCCTTGTAGGAATTTTAGGCGACGAAGTCTGTCTCGTTCATATGTCTCTAGTGCCCTTGCGTCTTTCAAAGAGAGCTTTTAAATCCATAGTTCATATGTCATTCTAGGGCGGGCAAATGTACAGTACATTTGATGCGAAATTTGGGGTTTCAATCCATTTCTTCCATGTAGCCCCGCACCCATCATGGCATACACAGCTTTTCTTCCTATCTGTATACGGCCCTGTATGTCTATTGCGCGATAATTGTGTTTCTGTATACCAAGATGTATAGTCGCATCAGTTTCCTTTATGTCTGCCGTGCCTAGTTTCCACAGGTGGCTGGGTCTAACTTTTGAGGCATTATATAGGACGATGTTACTCTTGCTTTCGTTGATACTAAATCTTTTCTTCTGTGTATGGTAGTTGATAATATCCTAATTTGTCTGCATTTCCACAGGGTTGTCGTGCACTAAGGAGATTTCGTCTGCAACTGTTGGGGCGCCGATAAATATGTTCCCTATGTAGGCTCCAAGCCCGTTGTCTCTAATATGATTCAGGATGTCATTGCTGAAGGTTTTGTATATGATTGGAGAACGTTTGGCGCCTTGCCTAATACCTTGATTCACTTTAAGCGTTGGGCCAAGTCGTCCCTCATATTTTGCGGCGGAGTAGAATTCTGTTTGCAACTCTTTGATCAAGCCCCATAGTTCCTGTTGCACGCCAGCCTGATACAGTGTCCGCAGTAGTCCATCATGCCAAACGACATCAAAAGCCCTGGTTGCATCAAGCGTGGTCAGTGCTAACGGCTTGTTGAAATCAAAGGCCTCATTGATGCATTCTTCTACTAACAAACAAGCATTTAGTGGCGAGGTTCCTTCTGTGAATCCCCTCTGTAGTTGGTTCTGAAGTGTGTCAATGTAGTTTTTAACAGGGTGGATATTACTGCCTCTAAGAGTTTGCTCAATATGGAAGTTACTGTTATCCCACGATAGTTCCCAGCTAACGATATATCTTTACCTTTCTTTAGCACTGGAGTAATAATCCCAGTCTTCATTACTACTGGTATAATGCGTGTCTTTACTATGGTGTTGATAAAATCTGTTAGAATAGTTATGAGCTTATTCCCACCGAGTTTAAGATGCTCCGCAGTTAAGCTTTGGCAGTCTGGAGCCTTCTTGTTGTTTAGTTTCTTAATTGCTACTGTAACATCTTCTGGGGTGAATGAAATAGGGTCAGCTTGAGGCTCCCCCTCCCAAGCCTTCTTTAGAGCAACTAGTTTCGTTTCTAGTGCTTTATGTGCGTCGTCAAAGCAGTCCATGTCCTTGGGCGTAGCCAGACTCGCAAAGTGTGAAGTCTACTCCTGTAGAATATCCTCGTCCCCACATATAGGGACTCCATCGAAATGTATGGTGCTGACTTTACCTACTTGGGGCGACCTCTGTTTGTTAATTATATGGTAGAATAACGTGCTTGGGGCATTTGTGTTTCCCAGCCTGGACTCAGGCATCTTTGCGGAGTGGGTAGTTGAGGGTGATGTGATTGATGAGCCTCTGGTATATCTTGTACCTCCTTCCCTGGACTCTGGTACGTTGATAACCGTTGACGTATTGTTTGGGCCGGGGAAGTTGGACTCTTCCTCACTAGACTCCTGCATATCTGTATTGGGGGGTCGAGATGATGCCGTAGGCTGTGGGGTTGTCTTGCTTGAACCTCCTGCCTTGGCGTTTGACATGTTCCTTTGTGGCCACACCTAAAAAAAATGCTGCGAGTCTCTTTGCCCTTATCGGTCTCGTTCTGTGTATGCTGTGTCGAACCACTACCTGTAATACCTGTATGTGAAGTCTGCATGCTACCAAGTTTCGTTTCCAACATGTCCATTCTAATCTTTAGGAGTTTCATTTCCATTACACGTTGTCTTTCCATTACTGTATGCGCCAAAGATGGCAAACATTTGTTGTCTATTATCGGGCTACTATCATGTTCTGTAGGTATAGGCATGGTGGGAAGTTCAGTGTCTGTGAATGTTCGTAATGTGGCTTCTAGTTCCTTATTCCTGTCTTCCAGCTTAAAATTTGAGTTCTACATGCTGATTTTTGCTGGTCTTTTTCATTTATATTAAAATGTTCTGTTTTATATTCCTTTTAGGTTTGACTACTTGGGTGGTTTCCTTTGTATGTGTAGCAGTATTTTTGGTTGAATGTACATCCTCTATATCTTGTATAACTGGAGTAGGAGAGAGACCGGCCTCCTTGCTGTTAGGGACTGTGTCCGCGTTACGATGCTGGACTGTGTCGTCCTGTAGAGACTGGACTCCAGATTGGTATCATGGACAGAGCAGTCCAGGATGGGATCCATCTCGTGATCCAGCTCTGGGACATCATGGATGAATGTCTGTTCCCTATCGGAATTAATAGGTTTTAAGTCATGATCTAGATCGATAACTTCGTCTGACCGGGGCAAGTCTTGCACTGCTTCCAGACTGCATGTAATGTTTTCTGAATACTCTGTATCTGTGTTAGGTGTAGATGCTGAGAGGTAATTGCTGCTGCTATCTTGGCTGCTTGGTTCTGGTTTTTCGCCATTCCTCCTCGTATTATTTGTTTCAAAACTTTATCAATGTAGTCTTGACAAGGGTTGTTTGAAAGGGCCTCTGAGATCTGTTTGTGATCCTATGGGTGCACTTGCCCCATTGACCATCATGGTAGATGTTGTGTGATAGAGCATTATAGTAAACCTACAGTAAGTTTCCCCTTCTTTTTACACGCCCGATTTCTGGCCTTACTCTTGGTTTCCACTATTGCACCACTTCTCCCCTGGACCTCTGTTACATAGATAGCATATGGATATGAGTAGGTGAGATATCACCTCGGCTTTGTACAACTCATACAGCTCTTGGGATCTTCTCCCAATCACAGCCGGCTAGCTTTTTTTCGATTGCCTTGTCGGCGTTGAGTGTGTACGGTTTGGGGTTCCCACTTCTAATGTTGCCACGTCTACTGTGGTCTATCTGCCTTTGGGGACTGTTGATCTCTGCAGGTTAGTTGGATGTAGCCTGGGCTGACCTCCTCCTTGGCCCATCTACATGTATGTTAGGAGTTAGTCGCAACGGAGGCCTGAACTGACGTAGGCACCTACGTACTGTGCCTAGGTGCCTAGCTGTTGTGTAATTTAGTTGTTGGGGCATCTTATCCGCACTTGTTATATATAATTGCAATATGTACAGCTAATGTAGTAATAAGATGTACAAGAGGCCCAGGTATTATATTTTTCAATTTATTTCTCGGTACCATACAGGTTTATCACAGGAGTACAATAAACAAAGTTATAAGAAGAACTACATATAAATCTGTTTTGGTGGGAAAGACACCAAGAAAATGAGTTTTCATGTTATGTCCCAAGTTTCCTCTATTTCCCCTATTGGGCCTCACATGCACCTTTTTATACAAATTAAATAAATTGAGGTTTTTTTCCCTAAACATGCTTCAGACCACATTTGGTTTAAATCCCTTCATTTGTACAGAAGGGCAATTTTTTTCCTCTATTTCCCCTAATGAGCCCCACCCATCTGCCCCAAAGAAGGGGGGCCACACACCTCAGTTTATACAAAATTGATTCTTTTGTCCCTAAGCATGCTTCATTTGGTTTAAATCCCTTCACTTGAATAGTAGGAGTTCACCTGGACTTCTCTGTCTGACTGGTCGAAAGACACATAAACATACACAGGATATTTATTTAAAAGTTCGTCAAAAGTGTATCCCGCAAATTTACTAATTCTAATTCGCCGCAGTCTAACAAACAATCAATAGGCGACTGCGTCTTCAAAAGTACTCTTTCAATTAGTGCAAAATAGTTCGCAATCAGGTGGAGCAATCCACATTTTGGAAACAGTTTTGCAAATTCCAATAAAAGAAGGATGACATTTTGAAAAGTACCAGATCACTGAAGGTGTCATTTCATGATGAAGATGTTTGAACCTAGAAAAATAAGACGAATGATTTAAACGAGTTTTCCAGTCTTCTGATTCTTTACAAAGAAGAACATCTTTAACTAGATGGTCCAACGTAACTTTGGAGGAAAATTACCCGACTTAAAAAATTCATTTAAAAAGTCATTGAAGTTGTACTTATACAGTATGTCATTTACATCAACAATATAACCCTTTTTAGCTTTATTTACACCAAGGCGATTTTGATACAATCGCAATAAAAACAGCTGTTTAGATGTACAATTAGTTTTGGTTCTACATAATGCCGCAAAAAAAGCGAAGCTTACATTGATCTACATGTAAATGAAGCGATGATAAACCAAGCATACCTAATGCGATGTCAGATCTGGTCCTCAGTGGGAAATTTTTAATTAGTTTGGCACACAAGTGATGTACTGATTCCAGACGACGCCAATCTGAGTTTGTAAGTAAGTACCACAACTCACAGCCAAACATGCTTCGAGGTAGAACGATAGAGAGGTATAGTTTCACTCCTATTAAAGGGTTGATGCTGGGGCCGAATAGATTACAATTCAAAAGAGCAAAACATTGACCACGTAGTTTGTGGATAACTTCATCGACATCAGGGTTAAAACTTATTTATACTAAACCCAACATTTGTACATTCAGTGACGTCACTGTCGCCTAAGTGCCACCTACGGTTCGACTGTGAGTGGTTACTAGTTCGTTCGTTAAAAACAATAATTACTGATTTGGATGGGTTGTATCTAAACCTCCATTTACAGCTATACTTATAACATATATGCATGAGCAAATCTAAATTGTGTTTAGAAAAAGCAAGAAGACATATATCGTCTGCCTGTGTTGGGCAAGTAATGTTGATATCACAGATACTCAAGGAATATTGAGAATCACAAAGATCATTCAAGAGATCATTAATATAAACAGAGTATAACCAAGGGGAGATAATACTACCCTAACGGGTTCCCTGGCATATCTTGAACATTTTCGATACAAAGTTTTGATGAATAATAACACTAAACATATCTTTATACAAGGACATAATTACACATAAATATTTCCGACTGAAACCCAAACGTGCGAGTTTGAGAAACAGACCGTCATGCCACACACAGTCAAAAGTTTTTGAAGCGTCTAAGAAACATGTAAACAAATTGCTATCATATTCACTGGCATACTCAATGGCTTCATGCACAATATATGAAGTCATGGTACTACTAACTTGTTTTTGGAATCCATGTTTTAATGGATTCACACAAAAAAGTTCTGAATTTTCTAATCTTGTCAGTAACAGTTTTTCATAAACTTTTAATATGACTGATTAAAGCGAGATTGCTCTATAGCTATTTGGGTCATTCTTAGGTTTGATATGACCTTTATATAATGTGCATATCAAGCCTTGTTTAAGAAAAGTTGGTACATATTCTAATTTTGCAAAAGCATTTAACAATGTGCATAAGCATTTATACAGAGAGTCGCAGGCATATATAAGGTTTTCATAAACAAGTGAATCTACACCGGGTGCCTTTCCATGAGGAAGACTTTTACAACAACATTTAATTTCCTCAACCGTAAAAACTATCGCAGCTGAATCTTCCAATGGACCATTACCTTGCAGAAAATTTGAAAGTTCAGATTTTACAAAATCACTGTCACAAACACTATCATCTGAGTGAGAGTAATTTTCAGCAAAGTACTCCCCCAGCGCAACGCTAAATCCGACGGATCTCTAACAGTTAAATTATCAAACACCATTTCAGCTCCGGCAGATCCAGTGGACACTCTTTTAGACCGGGCTTTAATTAGGGACCAAAATGAATTTAAATTTAAATCTGCTGCGTCCTCAATATCTAAGTTCAGATTCGAAAGGTGGTCCTTTGATAATTGGCGGTGCTTTTGGCGAAACTCACGTTCTGCGTCCTTATACATCCGGAAAGAATGGGAATCGGGATCACGAGGCCGACCTTTGTTATCCCAAATACACCTTAACCTCCACATCTCATGGTGTAGCCCTTTAACTTCACCCTCCCAGTAAGGCTTTAGGAATTTCCGGAACTTCCGCTTTTGAAGGGAAGCTAAAGAGACCTCCTGTAAACATTTGATCAAACGATCATTAAAAATGTCAATGTCGGAGGATGCTTTTAACTCGAGAGAGTTAAGGTTTGACTTCACAATAAAACTATTAAGGTTCTCGTTATAAAGTGCTGTACCTGCGGAGGCGGAGCCATCAGGTGAAGTCCATTTAAAAGTGATGCGTTCCATTTGAGGACTGTCAACTTGGGACACGGTAGCAAAGGAGATATCACAGAAGATAGGTCTGTGATTTGAGACGTCTAAGTAATCCTGACCGCCAACATGACAGTTCGAGATAAGATCAAGTTTGGAAGAGTCAACAATCACATGATCAATAAGCGACGAGGCGCCATAATCGGAGTGCACGTAAGTATGCAACGGACCGGAACAAATGAACGATGTCGTTAAAGCACACAACTGGTGACGATCCAGGCAACGTTGAAGGCGAGCACCTCTGTTGTTTTGATAGTCGTCTGGTAGGCGAGGACCACTAAGGCGAGCGTTGAAGTCTCCCATGATAATTATTGATCATTGAAGAGAAAAAGACTCGCACAGAACGTCTATCTTGTCGATGTACTGGTTAAAAGCTTCAGAACCATAGCTCGTATTGGGTAGATATACTTGTATAACATGCCACACACCGGAATTAGAAACAAGCTTTAGGATAGTGATGTGGTCATCGTCTGAATCAA